ATTAAAGTTAAAATTAAAGGAATTATATTAAGTTTTATATAAATTAGTTTGCCAAAGTTAAATTAACCTTAATTAATTAAATATATATAGTAAGGCATATAACTAATTAACCTTATATATAAAAATAAATAAAGTAAAATTAATAAAAAAGTAGTAATTTAAACTAAGGAAGGCTAACCTATAATATTATTTTTATTATTTTTTAATTTTTAAGATAATTCTTTAAGTTATTAAAAAGGTATTTATAATTTCTCTTTAAGATTTATTAATATATAGCTTTATTATTATAATTACTTTTTACTTTAAAATAAATTTATAATTAAATATATAATTTTTACTTATTTTACTATTAAAAAACTAATTTCTTAAAGTTTCTTTTTATTATTTAATTATTAATTAAAGAAGTTATAATAATTCTATTATATTATATTAAAAGAAGGTTAATATTAGGGTAATTCTAGACTTTTAATATATAATTATAACTTATATAATAAGCTTATATTTTAAATATATATATTTATTTAAAAATCCCTTAAATGTTCACTTTTCTATTTAATTGATAAACTCTTAATTAATAAATATGCCTAAATTCAATAATAAGTATAATATTCTTTTAGCCCTTAAAGCCCTTTTATATAAGCTAAAATTAAAGATTTAATACACTGCCTTAACACTGCCTATTGTTACGATTCGTGCCCGTAACAGCGCTGTAAGGCTTCTATAAGGCAGCTGTAGCATACCCATAATTGCTTGCATAGCGATTATGGCCCGATCTTTTGCCCTGTGGCTTAACGGCTTGTGCAACCGTTACACCTATGTAAACGCGCTTCAGGGACTAGCTGCTATAGGCAAGCTTAGTCCACCCCATAGTGATCTCCTAGCTCTTCTGTGGCTTGGCTAAGCCGGTGTTTATCTTAGCTAGATCTCTAAATGTCTTTTCGTTGTAGTCTGCCGGCTTTCCGGTCCCTAGAGGTGATATCTTGACGACGATATAGGGGATGAATAGGTAACGCCTCATGCCGATCATGACTGAAATCAGGTGTGTGCCAGTAAAAATAAGATGCTTACCCTGCCGTTTAGTTTCCACTATTGGAATATCAATTTCAATCTTAGTCTGCAGTCTCTAGATTCCCTTGCGTATATCTTATCAAGGAATTCTCAAGGTGCGATAATAACAGCCATGCAGCGCGGAATAAGTATAATTAAAGAAGTGGTATAGGCAGTCTTATATATAAATAGTATATATAAGAACCTTGAGACTTGATATCTCATTGAACCCATGCATATATTTCTTAAGGGCCTGCTCAAACGTCTCAACACTAAGATACTTCTTCATCAGACTTGCCCTAAACCTCTCAAATAATTGCAACTTGATGTCCTGGAGCGAGGGCGCAACCTAATTGTCAGGATATATAAATAGCTTTATATGTGCTTCCCATATATTATAATATTAACGCACTTCCCACTGCTATGGCACAATTCTTTACGTATTAGCTTCATCTTCCAGCCCAAGGAGGCATCGATAAATAAACAGTTAGACCACGGATATGGTTTGCTTGATTCGCGATGTCTTGAGTTAAGACCCCATCTAGACATCCATAAAGAAGTGCCCAAATAAGCCCCCAGCATTTTCTATGCCCAGGAACATTACAAAGTTTTGCTGCTGCATATAAAAAGCCAAGGCACATCACTGGCTATAAATAAGACCCTAATCGGCTGCTGCTCGTTACCTAGGTGTTATCTTATCACGGCGCGCCTTGGCTGCTTCAACTTCCTCAGTATTGTCGCACATGTACCTCAAAGCAGCAATCTAAAATAATGTGGAGATGTAAGGTTGAACTTCTTTCCTATAGAACGACCGATATGCTCATCGAGAGCCATTATCTTCCATAGGTTCACAAATTCCTCAAACACACTCAGCTTCTTAATCACGACCGGGGTCGGATGGTTTGGATACTTGGTCTGGAGAGCTTCAAGCACCCTTCATCTGTCCAAACCGATACAAGCAGATATCGTTTCGGCAGTAGCACCCAGCGTTGGTTCTCAAATATCAAAAAGCCAAGAAAAGAGAGGTAGCAAACCGCCTCCTTCAGCTTTCAGTGCTGGTTTAACAGTAGCAAGTCTTCAATAGATAGCGAATATGTGAAGAAAATTATTAGGCTCTTTCTTTCCTTCCTACTAGGTGTTCGGCTGTAAGTTTGTGTAGTTGACACAATGTGGCAGCCCGCTTGACGTGTTCGATGGCTACTGTCATCACCTTGGCTGTCTTGGTGGGTAACAGAATACCTTCTGCAAAGCTGGATTTGGCAGACTTAGATGACAACTTTAACAACTCAAAGGGCGTAAAGTCACCCTCAATATGGTAGATATTGCCAGCCAAGAGTGGCACTGGACTGCCGGTAGCGATGAGTTCAAAGGGGCCAGCATGCTATTGATGTTAAAGGAGGGATGTGGATTTTAAACTTCTTCCCACTTTTTATAGATTAGGGTAAGCTCATCTGCTTCAGTAGGCGCAAAATAGGCATTCAAGGGCTGGTCAGGGTTGATGGTTGAATGGCAGAGTCGTTTAAGTGTAGTCATGGTCAGCTCGTATCCCCCATCTGCCTTCTCCATCAAGATAGAGTCTGTAAGAAGCACATGCTGAGTGGAAGCATCAAGTTCCGATACTAGGGTCTTGAGGGTGTTTCCTGCGAGTGCTTCCAGAATGCTCGATGATGGACGGTGTGGTTAGTCAGACGAAAGCGCTCATTCTGGCTAAGCTCTTGGTCTGCACTCAGATGAGGCGATATGGAGGTAGACTTGCTACCACTTGGGACACTATCGGGGCAAGCATGTTGAGCGCGTCGTAGTCTAGATATGTGGCGGACTCAAAGGGTGAGTGAATGATGTTTCGAGGAGGCAGCGCTGCCCCTAACAGCCTGCCGATGGCCGTTTTCAGACATAGAGACTCAAAATATTCTACTCAAGCGAATCCCATCTCCTCCAATTTCAAGGTCCCAGAAAGCGTCAATTGCGCTCGAGTGCCGTTACTTGCATGATCCGGGACAAGCGCGAGCTTATTTGGACATGCTTTTGCAAGGTCCACGGCGGTATTTAGCACGTCAGCCTTGCTGAATGACACTGGCACTAACTCAACCTGGGTACCTATCTCTTGCCAGCTTCTACTTGACGATACTTGGCCTGATTTAACTTACTTTCAACATAGCCGATAGCTAGCTTTGCAGTAGGTGGATTAAAGACATGAGCTGCCCACTTGACCACTTGTCCTGCCGATGGTATAGTATTGGTGGAGAGGTATGGAAACGTGTGTTTTAGCGCCTTTGTGCTTTAGATAAGAGGAGCTAAGACGGATACCGACTTATTAGAGGCTAGAGGTATTAATATAATACTAAAGAGGAAGTAATAAAGCCAGTTAAATAATACTTTATAGTTATATATTTACCTTTAAAACCTACTAGTAAAGAATATTTTATATTAATAAAGTATATAATTTTATTTTTATTTTATTAATATTATAATATTACTTTTATATTTATATATTAATTATAAGATATATTATACTTAGATATTAATAGAAATATCTATTTTATTAGTTATATAAATAAAATCTATCTTAAATAAAACTTTATATATTAATACTATATAAATAAAATTAAAGAAAAAAGTCTATAAATAATATATTAATAAAAATTATAATTAAAAAATACTATTTAGCTAGTAACTTTTACTTAAATTTAATTCTTTTAATTATAATTAATAGTATTATATAAAAAATTATCTAAAAGGTTAGAAAATATAATTAATTAACTAACTTAGTTTTTATAAAATTAATAAACTTTAATTATAATATATATTTTTAATTTTCTTATATAATTAAATCTTATTATAAATATTAACAGTTAAGCTTACTTAAACCCCTAAATCCTTACAGATACTTCTTCTACTTACAGGGGTGTTAGGCGTCGGAGAAAGAGCCAATCAGCCAAGGTAATCCCGACAAGACGCTTAGGCGACCTGAAGAAGCATCGGATAATCGGTGTACCTTACTTTGAAACTAGACCTCTTCTGGCGTCGGAGAATCAGCCAATCACCACATCCTGTGCCCGACATTTGCAGAGCCCCACCCTTTATCCTTTCCCCGCCTCCAGCTTTAGCCTGTCGTGACATCCTATCCTGAAGATTGCTTAGCTCCGTCGTTAAAGAGGACGTTGCGTAGTTGACATTTTTTCGCCCTGCAATTGTCCCAGTGGTGAATCCACACCACTCGTCAACAACAGCCCCTAGCAGAGCGCCGCCTTTTCGAGCCGTGTAACCGTGAATAACGTTGGGATCTCATCTTTTCTGCAAAGCTGGTCTCTAAATTCAGTCGGACCTTGCGGCTGACTCCAGAGGTTTTGAAGGACTCCTAATGTTCTCTGAATAATGATGGCAAGGTATAGGTGTTTTTCACATTGGAGGCAAACTGTATTTCAGCTTTTGATCGCTTTTTTTTTGGGGGGGGGGGGGGATTGTCCCTTACCGCTGCGCCTCTTCTGTGGCTATCGCTTAGCTGATGGAGTATAGACTGCTTTTGCAGTTTGGGAGGAGAATGCGAAGGACTTTTGGCTAGTTGAAAACCAACGGGTGATAATCTACGCCTGCATTATGCGCTGGCAGGTATCGGGCTTAACGACAATGCGCCTTCGTACTGACGATATGCTATGGACTAGATGGCATAGAACGTGCAATGGGACTTTTCCTAATTTACCGGTAATATTGTCTTGGACGATATGTTTTAGGCTGGCTGTGAGTAGGAAGGTGCTACTTGGAGAGGAGAGGCCATGAAGCTCTCCATCATTGCAGGTAATCTAAGTGAGGTCAGATGCGACCTTGTCAGCTTATTACATCATGTGGTACAGTAATAAGTCTTCCTATAAGCTTTCTCCGCATGTTATATTTCGCCACTGGCTATCCTAGACCTATAGATATGTCATATACTACTACTTAAAACGGTGATTCAACTACATAGTTCTTTCTCTCGAATGCAATACGTGTTTCTCCATTATCGTCTCATTCTGCAACATCAAGTCGTCAATGTCTTTTTGAAATGATAAAAGAGATGCAGTAATATCGCTTGTACTCTGGGGCCTTATTGTACCATCGCCGTATGGACTGAGAAATCCTACGCGATCAAGTTCCCATTTCGATAAATGGGTCCCCAGTAGTAACGGGGAAAAAGAACTGGACCACTTTAGGGTTGAATGATATTGTCTGGAGGACAATGAGATGGCAGTAGGACTGGCCAACTTATAGGCTGATCGACCTGGATGGTATTGTGGGGAAGATGTTCGGGTATAGAGCATGGCGCATTGGCAATTCCTCTGAAAGATCCCGACAGGGACCGAGAACGCAGTATCTGCAGGATATCGCTGAGTGACGTAGTAGGGCGACTGGTCCTCATCGTACCAAAGTAAATGGTTTGTCGGTAGAAGGTCATCGGCGGCGGGAGGAGATACAACTGGAGATGGTATCTGATGCGGCATATGAAGAAGAGAATAATCCGTTTGGATGAGACGATCGAGCACAAAGAGACTCCAGTAAACGCAGCGACGTTCTTCTTCCTCGTAAGAGATATAGGCCTCCCGCTCAACCTCAAGGTATTTTCCAGGGCCCACGTGTAGGATCAAAGCCATAGTATTGGCATCTCCAATACTGACATAGGCACGTCCAAGATCCTCATGGTTATACTCGTAGAATGCGAGCAGAATAGAACACTGAATAAGCTCGATACTTGGGGTATCAAGGGTTCTCAGGATACTTAAAATTTGCTTGGCAGCCCGATAGGTTGGCATATCAACACCCTCTTCTCCTTTGATACTCATTGATTTAGCTGAATCATCGTTGTGAGAAAGGAGTTGCATGCATACAACCAAAAGGGCAGTAGCAGGGTCGTGAAGCTCTTGATCGGCAATGGAATCGAACCCAGTATTATTGGTACGTAGGGCGAAGAGTTCTGGATGGACTATAGTAAGGTAGGGATTTATGGTCTCAAAGTAGTGCTTGATAGAGTAACTCCGGATGGTATTGCGTGAGGAAAGTAGGCTCAAAATCATAGAGCTGGAAATGTCGAGGAATGGCTCGAACATCCCCTGCATGTGCCTACTCTCAGGTGGAGATTTTGCAAGGTTCTCAGGCCTTATAACAGCAGTGACTGAGGTGGTGTATATAAAGTCATAACAGCACGTGTTCCTAAGCCTGGAAAGTCAGTCACAGTAACAGGCGAGTTGGAATTAGCTTTCAGTTAGACAGATTATTGCATACCTCCTACAGCGCGAACAACTGGGCAACGCTTTGTCGCATTTCTTCTTAATACGTGTGCACCTTTCACAAGCTCTAAAAGCCTTTTTCGGCCCTTCTGAAAATGCAGAGTTTGGTGAAGACGATATAGAGCGGGGTTTGGCAGATCTGCATGAGGGATCCATAGTGGCTCCTATACGCTTTACAAAAGTCTGACCTCGGACGTTAGTTCTGGTGAATGTAAGTTTCAGAAAGTTCTCCTGGTAATGTGGTATCATGCCAAATTTCAGAACTGGAAAGATTGGCCTTAAAGGGCTTCAATTTCTGGGCACGAGGTGTTATACATAAACACATACCTTGAGCTGGGTAGGATTGAATATAGATCTCGCAATATTCAATCAGCTAGGATAAAGCTTATAGATCTTAAAACCGATATCATGAAGGGAGGAACAGACTCTTAACATAATTGAGAAGGAAAGAGTGCTATTTAATGTTTAATCAAGACGGGAAGTTAATACTGCCTGTTTTCTCCTCAAATTTCAGGCCGTAAATCTGATTGGAAGCTGCTAGCCTCGTTGTGTTTCTAGATTCGGGACTCTAGTGAGCCGAAGCCGCTAATTGGAGGGATATCTGGAAAGTCCTAAGCCACATAAAGAGGGCTGCAGATGTTATTTTAGGACAGGAGGTCAAATATTGGACCTAGCATGGAATGGGCTAGCCAATAACTCCCCACTTAATCTTATTAAAACCGTTGCTTTAACCATACAAGCTGCTAGGTTGCAAGGTTTATTTCCCTTAGCCTTAGCCGTTATTAACGAAATTTGGAGCTGTCAAGAAGTGGAACTGAACCTTTCCAATGTAGACAGTTTAGGCTAGTGATGGGCTAAGCGACCTGCCAGAACAGGGATTATATCTATACTGCGTAAGTTAGTGCTACGGTTAATTCCGAGATGCACTAGAATATGCACCGGGACGACTTACCCTTTAAGCTCTTCTGAGAAGGTCTAGATGTTTCGATTACGACAAGGGCTTTCTTTACTGAGTTACGAAAACACCTTTCGCAACGGTCCTGTATATACTAAGATCTGCAAGTTATTTACATGTGACATAGATGAACAGGTCGTATTATATGCAGTGGTATACGAAGCAGACGAGGTAATCTTTGATACGCTGACCTGATTTGTTAAAGGGAAAGACAAGAGGACTTGAACTCAAAGAAATCTTGAATCTGTTACAAGATTGTGTGGTAGAGATTAATGTTTCTATTTCGTGTCTCACTTATCGCTCTCTTAGTTGTTTATATAGTGTATTTAGTAAGCTACCTATCCTCTGAGAAGCCTCAATTTGCTGTTACATGAGCTCTAATCTGTCAACAAATTATAACCCTTGTCACTTACCTTCGCTACTCTAACCAAAGTTAAGAATCGTTTGAAGTTATCTAATAATGGTATGAGCTTTATAGTCTCTTCTAAGTGGATTTCTCCTAATACATTAGATATGTTCATACTGCAGACCTTCGGCAAGGGTGTTTCCGCAGGTTGTAATCTGCCACCACGATTTCAAGCAATAGATGGCCATATAAATGGCGACCAGACATGATCTTACATTAAACGACAATACGCCTGAGAGTTGCCGCCCCAGCTAGCAGCTAGAATGACGTAACGTAAGTAGAATGATATCGGACGCGTATTTATGAGATGATTATTATTAAGAGGTCATGTCAACGTTATGTATGAAGACAACTAGTGTTAAATGCGAAGGTCTGGTGAGAGTGCCCGAAGGAGCAGACTATCTGATTTCACAATGATGTGGCGTATAATTCTTTACTTTTAGAACTGTTGAGACGAATTTATTTCTTACAATCGTGTCCTTTCAGCTCTAGTCGGCCGTTCTTTTCCAGGTTGTTATCATCCAGGACGGAATGCCTGTCCAGATGCCTTGGCTTAACAAGGTGTCGATACTGATACACGCGTGGCTTGGCGGACAAGAGACTTGCCTGACATTGCTGATATTTCCTTCGGCCTGGTAAACCCCATATTATCTATGGCGAGGGTGTCTTTAATGGTCGCCGGTTTTATAAGAAGATGGAACGCCCTGCTATGTTTCCCTTTGGGGTTGAAATAACTTGACGTCATTCTCCTACTCCAAATTCAAGCTAGCTTCTCATTTAAACCATGCTGGCACCTGAAGGACTGCTTGTCACTGGGTTCTGTCTTTACCCTTTACACGCCTCAACCCTATATATACTGTCTGGACTTTAATCTGTATACAGTTCTGTCAAGGATTGAAAACTTTTCTAGGGTTAGAGAAAGGACATACTGTCATCCTATGCGGAATTGGTCCAATTCCAGAAAATAGAAGCTATCAAGGGCAGCTTCACCGCATTCTGGATGGCTAAATCCTCCCATGCCGTTCTACAATTACAGATGCTGCGGTCTTGAAGTTTTCCCCAACACTTTCCCGCTGTCGGACTAAAGAAACAAATCCCGACGTTGACCTCCACAATCACAGTTGCTGCGGTCTTGAAGTGTTTCCCGACACTTTCCCACTGTCGGACTAAAGAAACAAATCCCGACGTCGACCTCCACAATCACAGTTGCTGCGGTCTTGAAGTGTTTCCCGACACTTTCCCACTGTCGGACTAAAGAAACATATCCCGACGTCGACCAAGTACCCCTAGGACCAGCTGACACTTGTGGGGACATCAAGAGACGATACTACCCTGGGGCCCGCAATTAACGATATTTGGGTTAGCGTATACATCGACTGAGCCTATACGCGTATTGTGGTCGGAACGCACTACATGCCACTCTGCATGACTGAGACATATTAGGCTCAACCCAAACCTTAACTTACTTGATAATTATGCGATAAATATTCGGTGACAGGCAATTCACTTTCTTGTTTCTATGATATACTATAACTTGAACTTTGTAAGTACGACTTGAGAATATAAAGATGCCCTCTTTAACACTTTATATTATGCTCAGACACTCCGCCGTCTCACGTCTCACCTCCCCATGAGCTACCAGTAGGACCAATCTAACAACATAGCGCAACGAATATACTTATAAATCAATCCTGAAAATCATCACTGTGTATGTAATTATCAACGCAAACAGTCACCCTAGAATCTAATATTTAGCTTCTTTCCTAAATTCACATAATGTTATGTTTCGCCTCACCAGACGATAGGTTCCCTTCAGGCTCATCCAGCGGCAGATGGTGTTCTACCAAGAATCTCACCATCCACTTGTCGAACTTGTAGGTTTGCATTGCGCCGGGTCCTGTACAAGTCTTTTGGAATAGTTGAAGACGTCTTATCTGCATTTGTATCAGAATTTGACCACTAATATCGGGTTCTCTACTCACTGAGTTTTGAATCGAAGGCCAGTATCTTTGAAGCTCAAAGATGGCTTCAAAGTTGGACTCCAACTTGGCTCGGATATCAGCCGTGTCATCTTGCTGACCAAATATGAGCGTATGCAGCAGTACTGCAGAAGAGACAACTGTCATGTAGCCTACCCCTCCAAAAACCAATTCACAATTAGGAACTTGGCGAGAGAGTTGGACGAGATGACTAATCGCACTTGCGTGATGCTTGCAAAGCTCGGCATACTCGATTGACTTCGGTGTCTGGGTTCGATTGAGATCTAAGAATCTGAAAAACAGAAGTACGAAATGTTGGTGGTAGCCTGTATGTATGGCGAGGAATGGTCCTCCAAGGCCTTTGGCACTATGTGCCCGAAGGTTCTCCTCTGTCGCTTTCTTTTCCTTAGGGAGACCCGCTTCCCAAAGTCGTAGGCCGTCTGCTAGATCCGCAACGCGTTGCATGACGTAATCTTCGGAGAGATCCTCTTGATCCCACTGTTTGTTCAAGTTTTGGATAGGCTCCAACTGTTTTGCAAGCATGACATTGTATGCCCAAAGTCCCAGTGTACGTGGGCGCGTAGGACGTCTCTCACTACCTTCGTCAACATCCATATGGTGAAAAACATCTTCATCCATTGGTAGGGGAGTCTCCTGATCAAAGTCTGGCATGGCGCGACGGAGGTTGCGACCAATAGAACTCCAGCGGTCTGCCATGAATAAAGTCCACCATACCCTGCATTTTGTTTCGCGTAAGACCTCCGAGTCTGCCGGATCCGGATGGTGCAGACCAAGAATTTCGGCCATACGAATGCCAAGGGTAACGAAGAGCGCTTCTGATTCTGGATTTTTTGACGAAGATGATAAATTTGCGAGCAGGACGCAGGTCTGGATATTCTCAAGACAGATGTTCTCCATATCTTGCTTCAGTAGCTGTTTGGATTTTTGCATGAAAGTAGGTCCAAGGGAGGCTATTTCAGGCTTAGAATGGAATCGACAGCCAAATGCTAGTATAGCGAAGAGCAAGGCATCTCCCAACCGGTCTTCTTTCACTGCAGCTCGCAACGTGGGTAGATGGAACAAAGTATGGGGTCTGTCAAGTATGTAGTGAATGTAATTCTCCACAAGGTCTTCAATCAGGTCATGCGAGAGAAAAAATTGTGGGTTCAGATCATTGTGTTCGACTCTTCGGTGATGAGGAGAGATACGTCGTTGCTGTGGAGAAGTCTCGACGAGCGAACATTGGTGATGCCGTTTTTTGGCGCACGCATCACACGGACCCCCGGGTTTTGTTTGGAAGCACTTTTTGCGCCTCCTTCTGCACCTCGAGCACGCCGTAGGAAATCTCATTGTGCTGTTTCTATTTGACCCAAGCTTTGGTAAGATGAGGACACGCGAAAATGAGGGGAAGGGTCTAGTCACTCCACCGACTAATGATATTCCCTGCATGCCAAGCGTGGGATACCCGGAAATTCATTTTTCCGGTAGACTGGCTATGGACAAATCAGGTGTAGGGTAGTTTCACTTGGGCTTCCGGTGAGCTGCTTGCAAGATTTACCAAGTTCTTGCTCACAGGACTATCTGTTTTGCTACCTTTCATTGTACGTGCTTTGGGCATGTGAAAGGGATTAATCTGAACACATGTTGTGCTAGCATATCACCTTGCTAATTGCTCTATCAACCTATTCCAGAATTAAAACTGAGACGGCAAGTGGCGTGTTTGGCCTGCCCATAAAACTGGCTGTTTTGTGACAGAAGGATACAAGTTGTTAACAACGGGACAGTGAAAGTTGTGAACACCCTCCCAGCTCCACCAAGGTGTCCACGGACCCAACGAGTTGCTCGTAAGGCGTATATAGTATCCCAGCTCCCCAAGCCACGAAGAGGAAATGCTCAGGCTCTCCATTACCTGAGAAGTGCCGCACGGGTTCGGTAGACTGATGCCGTTGATAATATATCCGCAAAATAACGGGAGATGCTACTCCAGAACCTCTTTTAGTATTTCTTGTGTCTAACAGCAAGTATTAACAAGGGCTACAAACGCCACTAGGTAACACAGGCCATAGAGATTAGGTTCGAGGCTTGCTACTTACTGGCGCCAGAGCAAACTGCCGTTCGGCTCCCTCTCTTAACCCTGACTTAAAGAATAAACTTTACTTAAATCACGAATAATGCAGGGGAACTTGGGGACGTGGGGCGATACAAAAATTTCTATAATATCTTAAAAGGCTCTTTGATGAGCTACTTAGCTATGGAGGAGGGGCGATGTAACTCCTGAACGTAAGTGATGGAGACAAGGGACAAGGATCTGTAACATTAGTCATACACACAGACGCTCCTGCGTTACATTGCGTCCACAGGCGGCCAGGGTGACCGAGATACTGTCCGAGCACTCTTTTGTGCTACTGCAATAGCATTTTTGGAGCCCGCCTTGCATCCCCAACAAAAGAAATGCCACCTAAACAGCATCAAGAACAAGATCTTAACGCAATCAGCTGTGGATCCAGCGATGCTGAAGCCTTTGAAGGCACATACGTATCTCATTTGGGTAACCATCGGTGTTCTTCATCTCTGAATTCCATGGCCTATTGCCTCTCGTCGCACAGCCATGTCTGCATATAAATCAGTGCAAGGCAGAGCCACCTGGTCTTGTGTCATTCTTTCATCATTAACGATCACTCCAGATTTGTTGTTGTTTATTTTCTTATTGGCGAAATCTCTACTGGTAAGCCCGAGTAGAAGTTAAAAAACTCATCGCGTCACATCGCACTCGGAACGTGACCACAGTGGGTTCCATCCAGTCATTTACCCAACAACTTTATTTTTGAAGTGATGCTTTCATTATGCATTGAGGGGATCCCGGACTCGGCACTGCAATCTTTCACCTCGCTTCTTCTGCCCTACACTGTCAAGGCTCGAGACTAGCCAATCTATAAGTACACATCTTCATCCCCCCTAACTTACAGTCCTTAAGTTCTTTGTTCGCCTCAACGCACATACTACGAGAAAGATACACCAGATAAGCTAAGCACAAAAATACCAAAAAACGAAATTTGAAAAATTGGTAAGCCTTGATTTTATTATCACGAAGATTATGGTTAAAGGTCGCTAACTCATAAAGCTAGAACCGCCCGAATACTATCAAACTTCTCACACTTATATACACAAACCTAAACTACACACAAACATACAAACCCTCAAACAAACAACGCATAAACGAGATGCTAGCACTACTTCTTATATATTTCACGATCACTCTAGTGAAAGGAGGCGCAGTCCACATATCGAATATCCGTGGTTTATGCACGGTATATTTCAACACCTCAGCCTCTTGCCTTACGGCGGAAGACACAATATATGATCTCTACAATAACATTGGAAAGTTTCCTGCCAAAATAACGGAAGTCCATACCCCCAGTGGCCAGATAATCCAAAAATGCGTTGGACAGATCCCCCCCCCTCCTTATGGGCCTTTTAAGCGATCTAAAAAAGCAATCAAGTTTACACCTACAGATAACCCTTGTACTCCTTTTTTCAAAGGTATCGTCCCATGATTTGGGAATGTTAAAGATGGAGAATCTCAAAGTAATACTACAGACTGGACTGAAGTTTTGAGTCCAAGTGGCCATGTGGAATTAACATGTATATTTAAAAGAAAAAAAGCTTAGCTGAGCACGGGTATGCGACGAGCTTGGGGGCTTGGGGCTCGAAGGCCCGGGAAGCTTTGGTTGGGTAATGGCAGCTACGCGTGGCTGCTTCCAACGTCTAATAGTGCCAGGGCCAATGCCAACGGGTTGTTCTATCTAACTCAGACTATGTGTGCTTTGTAGTGTGTTGCATTGTGGTATTGTGTGTAAATAAATCACGGAATATCAACCATTAGACAAAAAATCATAAAAGAGCTATCACGTGTTAATAAAATTGAGACCGAGTCAAAAAGAGAAAAATAGCAATTCTCTTCCGATTCTTCATGTCCTATGAGGTCAGTTTAATGCCCGAACCCGCCAACCTTTTTGTCTAATTTAGTTGAGTACTGGGCTTAGTTCGTGCTACAAGAACGATATGGAATTGAATTGAATTAAATTTATTTATTCCGCCTAGAAGATACGCCTCATAGGTCCCCACTGTACAAAAGATCATCAGAACCCCCTCGCATTATCTACTTTTCGTCCGTGCCAACCTTGGTTTCAAAGGACAAGCTTGGATTGGCGGCCCATTACTCAGCTTTTTAGCTAATATGTACATGGAGTGACACTCAAACGACCTCCATCGGTCAATACACAATTTCCATTACAGTAGGCACCCGCACGAGAAGCTAGATATAGCAACGGCCCCATGATATCCTCTGGCGTGCCAGCTCGCTCGGCAGGAATCTGATCTAGGGGAAATGCACCCTCGGCCATTGGATCATCACTTTTAATCAAGCTTGTGGTGAGATTAGTTGGAAACACTGTAGTTGTTAGCTCATCGTTCATCTGAATGGCCGCAGTACTCACCCCCTGGGCAAAGCACGTTGGCCCGGATTCTATATGGCACTAGGTAAGTGGCCAACACTTTGAGCATCATGGTCGTTCCGGCTTTGCTGGTGGTGTAAGCAAAGCCGGCTGAGATCTTTCGGTTGAAGCCCCCAATAAAGTTGGTTGCGATAAGCTGACTCCTCCCTCCTTGGAAACCAGATTCGTTTCCTCTTTTCAATAAATGAAGAAAAGAAATCGCAGTATAGAAGACCGCAGTGCAATTGACGTGATATGTACTTGTGAAGTCATCCATAGGAATATTCAGACGGGTATCTTGGACTTGGGCTATGGTGGCATTTGGAGGGACATCTCCAGAAGGGCCTGCAATACCAGAATTGGCCACAAGTAGATTGATGTATCCGACCTCCTTCTCGATGGATGCCGCTGCAGCTTTGAGGTTCTCGTTATTAGTCACGTCGCATTGAATTGGAATTACGTTATCCAAACCCTATCGGCCGTCAGAGAACTTGGTGTTCATTTAATGTTATTCTGTATCATACGATCTGCTTAACGGCGTCTTCTAAAACTTGCTGTCTCCGGCCGATGATGTAAACTTTCTTGGCGCCATTCTCAGCCAGAGCCCGCGTCATAAATAGTCCAAGACCTAAATCATTGATCAGCTACAATATCATCAATTGCCCAAATCATCCCTTTTCCCAGCAAAAAATAACTTTTTCGCGTTCAGAATAGACTTAACACTGCCTCCACCTGTTACAACTGCCACTGTCCGATAGAGTTGGAGGCGCACGGAAATACCGTATTACTTTTGAATCAAGTGATTGACGTATCCGACTCTTTTTGATCTGCAATTAGACCCATCATTTGAGTTATATACCTTCTCAAGATCCATGTTGAATCTGGGGCGCGGTGGGTTGCCGAAACTGGCTGACTATTGCCAAAAGTCCGAGTACCAGGGTCCACTTTCGGATGCACTGATCCAGAGGCTCTTCCCAATACGTTAATGTCCCACTTGCCAATCTAATTCAGAAGCAGGATTGCCTCAAGAACAGATTCTCAATTGATTTGAGCCGATTTAAAATATTTTGGTTGATCTTGCGGGGGTAGAGCGTCTCGAGGTAGTGGTGAATTGACCGCCCGCTGATCATGCACGTCACACAAATTTGCATCAATGGCCGAATACACGTAATGTCTGCTAATTCCCATCACGCTCAGGCGTAACTCAGGATGCTGCTCAGATTTATTCTATCATGAAGTCCAAGTATGAACGGTGGATACTAGACTTGTCCATTGCGCCCTGCTAAGCTTTAGTCTCTCGTGGTTCTCCACCAGTAGCCAAACCGAGTGAGGATGAAGATCATTAACGAGGCGTCCGGGATAAGATGGTTTTAGCTACCCTCACTCTGGAACAGGAGGTATAATATATTTTGCCTTCTTTCCCCTTTAACTAATAAAAATAGTCTTTAATTAAATATTTTATAATTAATATTTTAAAAAGGGAAGTAATACAGCTGCATAATGTTTTTAATACAGTGGCATGACCTTATAGCTACATGACGTTTACAGGCTTTAATTTGCTAAACAAGACTAAATCCGTTACCAGCAGTAATATAGCCTATACTTTTTAACCTAATATATATTTACAGCTTATTAGGTACTTAGTTTTAGGGTATTTTAAAGGGCTTAACGGCCAAGACGAGTACTTGCCTTAACATTAAACTGTAGTATAGTTTATAGTTAAGGATTTATTAATTAAATGAAAAGTATAACGCTTACTTGTCTGCAACGCTTGTTTATTATGTATATTATAAAGTTTAACTTTATCAGCGCTAGAAATTTGCAGATAAAGCTAACAGTTATATATACTCTCTACAAGTGCATTTTAATACATTGTCTAAGCCTGATAATTGTATGAGATTAGTGAAAACACTGATTAGAAACCCGCTCTCCTGAGCACCGATATCGCGGCGTGCAATGAGAAACCAAGCTCTGCGAGCACTTCTAGATCCTTCGGAACTCTTAAACATAATGGCAAGATAAAGCGAAAGTCAATTTAAGCCTAACTGTTATGAGTTTAAGACATACAAGCTATCTTATACAAGTCGGCATTTATCTGATTATAGCTTGCTTGTAGTCGGCTGTGGGAACCCGAACTTGGAGAGGTCATCAGTCGCCTTCCCTTCCAATGCTAGCTCAGCAGTCACACGACCAATTGCCGGTGCGAACTTAAAAGCATGAGCATTGCCGAGAGCAACAATAATGTCTTTGTGCTTCTCCATTGGGCTGATAATGAACTGACGGTCAGGGGTGATAGTGTATTGACAGGTAACCGTCCGCAGCTCCTCACCATGGTCTGGAATAAGACCATTAACAAAGGTCGTTAGCTCCTTACGCAGCCTCTCCGAAGGAACCCAGGTACGCTCTTCAGGCGTGATATCATTCCTACCCGCGTCCTGACCTGCCTTGAGCGTTGGCTCGCCATACAAGGGAAATCCATAAAACCACTTCTCACTTGAATCCGCCCCGCCCCAAATCCATACTGGGAACTTATCACTCTCGAAGCGAGCCTCATGCTCAGGCTTGGGCTTATAGTACGTAACCTGCTCCTGCATAACGGTAATAGGTAGCTCAACGCCAAGGGGCTTAAGAAGCTTGTTGGTCCAGGCGTCGGCAGCGATAATAACCTTTTTCGCGTGGAAATCACCCTGGGATGTCTTGACAAGGACACCACCGCTGGCTTGTGGTACCACGGCATCCACGCGGGTATTGTCCTTGAGAATAGCCCCACTACCACGAGCTAGATACTGAATAGTTGTGACTGATTTGGCAGCATGGGCGATGCCTGTGTCTGGGGTGTAGATGGTATCAACGCTGTCGGGGACGTTGAAACCGGGCCATCGGCGATTTGCTTCGGCGGCATCCACAAGCTCGTAAGGGATTCCATTGGCATCCAAGCTGTTTGCGAAGGTGTGAGAACCATTAGGTCCCTCCTTGGGAAGAAAAACGACACCACCAGTGATGGTGAGCATCTTCAGACCAGAACGTCTCTCAATCTCAGCCCAGTCCTTGTATGCTGAGCGGGCGAGAGCCACAAATTCGGGGGCTCCGTAGGAAGTTCTGACAATGCGTGATGTGTCGTGGGATGCACCTCTTACATGGCCAAGCTCATACTGCTCAAAGCCAATGACTTTGGCGCCTTTGATGGCTGCTTGGTATGCTGCTGAGCTTCCCAGGGCGCCGAGGCCTACAACGGCAACGTCAAACCTTTGAACTGACATAGTATGACGAGTTTGCTTTGTCGAAGGACGAGAATTTCCGGGAGACAGAAGCGGATTGGAAGAGAATAGAGATGATGAGTTTGCATTTGAAGCAGCATGAACGAGCTTGGATTTATACGCAAGTGGCATAAACCTGCTAACCACTATCTCATGCCATGTATGGAGAGGTACTTGCAGCGCTTGTTCCACCAGATGGAGAACTATTGGCCTGCGTGATCGGCAACGCGACTTCGGCAATTGCTTCCGGGGAAAGCGCAGGGACTGTAACGGAAGACGTTACCGAGATCCCCATATGACTTTCATCTCGTTTAGAAACAGAAGGTAACCCCGCAGTACAGAGTGTAGTATGTCCAATGGCTGTTCTTGTTTGGGCCTAGCGATTGGCCCCGCTTTGCCTAACCTATTGGAACTTTGGTGTCACTAAATTTACGTTAGGCACAGGAGGTCGGCTGGTCTTGTCATTGCTAAACTCTTCTAGACCCTACCCAAGTAAAACAGTTATGCCTGCCTCGATATACTGTCAAGGGCTACATGACACGTTCCTGCTCTTTGCGTCAGACTTTTCTCTCAAAATGGAGCTAACTAACTAGAAGAGCAAGTTAATGACACCGTTCAGACTCAGGAAATTCCTCCACTTCAAAAAGAGGTTGCAAAACCTGACAATGCGATGATGGAACTAACCTGTCTCCACTATGAAACCAACAAAAGCTTTACGTAATGGATATGCTTTCGCTGTAGTTCGATGGCAACATACAGAGTCAACCGTAACTCCTCCTTCGTCCCAGACCGTATTGCTACCGTTCCTGTCGGTCCAACCAAATGCTTCGTCTGTCTACGGAACTTGACCTCCATCACCACGGCCGTATCTATACGGTCTTAGAGTGATCGGATTTCCTTGCGCCATCTGAACGCTGGCTAAAATATGTACTACATTCCAGCTACGTCTAGTAGCCTGTTCAGTCAGCCATCCGCGCACAAGTTGCTTGAATTCCATAATCGGACAGATGCTTCTGCTTGGAAGACATATGAAGCAGCTTCCAATGAGTCTTACAACTTCGCCATTCGTGCTCTACGCTAGTACGTAGCATTATCTGGGGAGAAATTTGAAGTAATCCCCACATGCTGCTTGATTTTCATCTCCATAGAAACGCAATGAGAACACCCTGAAACATCTAGAGTCCGCTCTCTTACTAATAGGAGTGGTCTAGCGACTGGATTGCCTGCATATCAACAGTCACACTTGAATCTTTCCATTCAAAAAATATTATACTATTGGTCTGTGTATTGATATCGGGGCCGCAAGTCATTTCCAGCCGGTGAATAACAAGACAAAGGAAAATTAAATGCGGTCCCTCGCATTTTCAATCACTTGTTTAACAAGTGAAAACTACGTGTATGATGCTCAAACAACGTAATTTTGTCTCATCTATGGCTATGGGCTTAGTGGACAACTGCCATCTTAGTCTCCGTTCATTTTGAGCCCTGGGCATATGGCACTGTATGCATAGAATGCGCTTAAAAACCTCACAGCAATGTGTCTATTCGGCAGAGGGTGAGCCGCATTGGGCATTGTGTTTGACGGATGGCACTTGCGAAAGCAAGGGCTTGAGTCTTTCTTCAGATTTACGAAGGAATTTAGAATCAATCATATCATGACACACCAACAATGCCACAGCCGCTGGCAAGACAATACACAGCTGTGCGTGTTACTCTCGCCGCAAATGCTCATAAAGACTTCGGTATGGAAGGCAACAATGGTTGCAATGATGCACCTAAGGGGAGTGCTCTCTCGAAATTTTGGAGTTATCCTCGCGCATACCAGCATCATCCTCCCCAGTGGCGCAATGCTGGTCAGGGAGGTTAGGGCTTGCGTTTCCGTAACACCCACCATCGAGCTCCAAGCAGGTGAAATAGAGTTTGTTAATTTTGATACGTCGTCAGATGTTCCGTCTTGTCCTTGTCTATGAAAGGCTGTTCATGAAGAGTTCGAGTTGTCGGCGCATGACCAAGCTGACGATCCACCGGACTCCTTGTTAATCTGGATAATACCCGCGATAGACCTATATGTACCCGCGATCATCAGAAATATTCCTGATATAATAACAAAGATACTCCAACAAACCATCAAGCACCACTTAAGGGTTGGTGCGTGTCGACCAGCAGACCAGTTATCATATAGCCACATGCAGCCCATCGGCTGAAATGACATCAGCGTGGCGAGCAATGCACCGATAAGAGATACTAGACCATTGAAAATCGGGATACCGCTGGCGACGAGGTATGCGACCACGGTAACACTAAACGTGGAACCGAGCCAAGTACCCCAGTGGATTAGAGAGTTGGATGTGAGATGCTTTGACCCACGAAGAATACAAACGAAGAGATACTTGCTAGGAAACTGGCTATCGATTAGCATATGGAATATAAGGCATGATAATATCGATTCACAAGGAGACACTTACGTGTATGACAACGATGGTGCTGATGATCAGGCCTGGCAGAGCGATACCATAAGCAAGCCTCTTAACTAGCACGCCCGCAGATCCAAGAGCAGGAGAGGCAACAAAAGAACCGCAATAATAGTATACTACGGTTCCAACTGATATGTATGTTGCCGTTACGATAGACTGACAAATAAGCAGGGCCCGAGTATAATACCTTGGGTCACGCATTTCCGCGGCAATTGGAAAGAAGCCTGGGGTACCAGCAAATGCAAAGACAATAGATGATACGGCTGAAATAGCTTTCGTGAACGAAGGTCTTCCAAGTAGTTTGAAATCAGACTCCCAAGGGCCAGTTTGAGGTGCAGAAGAAGGACGGTCTTGAATCCCTACGGCAATAGTGACCATAAGAACTATCAATATTAGGTCAGGATCAGATGTGGCTTATTTCGTGTGAGCTAGCTAGTCACTCACCTGCGATAAATACAGATACAAGACCAGTCCACGCGACCCATGTCATGCCGAGTGTGCGAATACTGGCCAGGCCAAATGACGCTATGGCGGCAACGACGACGAAAACAGCAGTGCATGCATTGTGGAGTGACACTGCGTTGAGTCCGATAGAAGTGCTCAGCATGCCAGAGCCCGAGCAAAATACCCAGTCTGTTTAAAACTTAGTTACAATCCTTTCATGAGGAGGCTGTTGCTGAGAGAACACTATGTCACTGACAGATGCAGATACCGGCACCAAAAACCTCGCGGCCGATTCGTCCAAACATTAACCCACCCGCATCGTCGATGCCGTATACGTTGCGATGTTTTAGCTTAAATTGACCGATGACATAATTAGACCATGTAGTGATCGCTGAAATAGCACAAATGCATATTATGCCGGGAATGATACCGAGCGTGTTATGAACCCCAGGAATTGAGAGGACACCGAGGCCATTCTATTATGCAAACCTGGAAGGCCACCGGGTCCTATGGCCCAATCTTTGGTGTGTAAGGCGAGAGGATTTGTGAGTGGTGCTCTTGCCTTGTTCTTTGCATCACTACTCATGTCCAGTGCAGATGTAGTCGGCTGCTGGGAAGCACGACTATAGCCCGAAGAATGAATCTCCTCATCTGATGTAACATGCGAACCACGGAGCACCAGGATGCCGAATGTGACTTACCATCTTGGGAGGTTAATAAATGGCAGTTTAGACCAATAAGCGGTTCAGCTATATGAATCTTGTGTTCAAGTGCTTCCACCTTGTCGAGAAGGTAGTCGATGTACCTATTGAGAAAGGCGTGAGAAGCTCAGGCTAGAACGTGATCGACAAACTGGATAGCCGAATTCCTTACCTCTTCGTTACTGGTACCTTTTCTGTTTTATCATTCACATTGCACTCCAAACCCTTCCTTTTACATGGTTCGCAAGGTCGGTATTCGGAGCACTTTACCTTCCGGGCGAGACATCTCTTGCAACTATAATGGTGAACGACGGGTTAGGAACTATAACCGAAGGAAATCGTGATTACTCACGCTTTGTGATTACGCCGTCTACCCTCTTGGCTACGTTGTTTTGAAGATACAGCTGGCATTATAGAGCAATATGCCAGAAGCTTTGGAACGAAGCGACTCCGATGAATGAAGGACAAAGGAGATTCCTCGACACGAGGGATGGGTTTTCTTGGATCCGCGGACAGCTACCTATTCCAACGATCACACAATTTGTGCTTTTCTCGCTCGCGTATATGGTGCGCGAGCCGATTAGCGTACTGCATAGCTAAGAGTAGCATGCTCTAGATACCTCCCAAAATCATCCTCAACGGAGACAAGGGCCACTCAGTCTAGACCCCAGGTAGTGCCTCTACCTAAGGCGCATACTAGCAAAGTTTGGAAAAAAGCTAGACCAGTAGGTTCGTTGGATGTATAGAGGCTGACTCCACGACCAAAGCCTGGAGCAGGTAATCTAGCCTCGGCTAGAAGCTCAGGATGATCCATACCCTACAAAGTACGTCCAGCGGATATCGGAGCCGATGACTTGTCTCAAATTGGTATGTGATAGGCCAGGACTTCGTATCGGATATCCTAGCCGTAGTCAAAATTTCTGTTGACTAATGTGTTTCGAGATGCGGGGTTCGGCATGGGGGTTGGACCGCCACAGGGCACTTTCGATATACGCTTAGGACACAGCGTATGTAGACTACCTATCGTATGCACACAGCCCATGGTAGACCCTCGACCGAACATACTCCTGGAGCACGGTTATGTAATACCTAGACTCGAGGCGCGCAGCAATACGTTCCATTCATTGGGAGCCCGGCGTCAGCTATGGGTTTGCGTTAGGGTTAGAGTTATCCTCTTTCATCCTTTCTGTCCACTTAACTTGATAGCACTTTGTGACCTAATGAACACCTCAACTGCCTATCTACTTATCGGTTCCTAACTTACCATCCGCCATAACGAGATTAATCAAACTACATCGATTTAACCTGCAACATCTCTGTTAAATAACTAAAGCTATCAGGCTTTATATCTACGTTACTTTCTAACATCTCATCACTGAAGAGGTTACTCAGTAACTGAGTTATAACGACATTTGATGTATCTAGAATAATTCTCGGTAGGTTCTGTAGATCAAGTAAGAGCGGGGACCTGTTGAGTCGCACAATGGATTCCTCCCCCTATATGTGGTAACGCGTTGATATAAACCTGCACTACTTTTCGATCAGGAAACAGTCTTTCGAACAATCGAAAAGCTTGAAGGTCTCTGTCCTCGTCACCAAATCGAGGAATTATGACCCCTCCGTTGACAGCCAAGAAGTTGACATAGGAAGCTACACAATTCTCTCCTTTAGAAATGTTTTCCAGCTTGTCCAAATCAGGCTCAAGGCAATCATGCAACACTAATTTGTTGCCTAGGGCGTCAGTAGCTCTAGACAACCTCGTCTTGGCGTCCGTATACGCGGCCGTATATTTTCCGGAACCGTGGGGCGATGGCTTGCTCAAAAGAACAATTCCAGGACGGATAAATCGAGCGAGGGCGTCGATGTGGCAGTCCGTCGTCTCCTTACCAGCCTCACCGGCGAGCCAAAGAAACTTATGAACCCCCAACAGACGAGATAACTCACTCTCAATCTGCCCTCTGGTCTTGCCGGGGTTCCTATTATCATTGATAATAGCACTTTCAGCAGCCATAAAGGTGCCCTCACCGTCGACTTCCATTGCACCGCCCTCGGCAATAATATCCGCACGCAAATTAAAGCCACCAGTAATATACTCGGTCGCTATTTTAGCGATAAATTCGTCTCCAGATGGTGAACGTTTTGCTCCCCAGTAGTTGAAATTAAAATCGACCCCATGAATCGATCTTCCGCTTCGAGATTTGACAAAAATAGGGCCAAAGTCTCGAATCCACAGATGGCTCGTTTGCTCAATACACAGGACGGTAACATTCTGGTTCACTCTGGATTTGACGCTTCCTAGTGTTTCAGAGCTCGATAAGAGTATGACAGGCTCGAATTCTGCAATAGCATTTGCAATGCTGATTATTTCGTCTTGTGCATTTTCAAGCAAACTGCCAGTATTATCAGATGTGGTGTTGGGGTAAGCCATAAGAAGGCTCTGGTGCGGAGCTGTGTCGGCTGGCAGGTACCAAGTCTCATCGGTTGGAGAAGCCATATTTTGAGTGAAGTAGGGACCAGGGTTGTCAAGAAGAAAGCATGCGCATCTCAAAACCAGGGGTTGCAGTTGACTCCGACAATTGAGACCTAGATCGCTATTTATGCCTTCTGACAAGGGAGCCATTGACTAAGCCACTGGAGCGACGATCGAACAGGAAGCTCAGCAGGGCACTTGGACTCTCCGCTTAATGGTCTGGTGACTTACACCTGGATCCTGGCTAAGGAACCAGTCCACAGTCAGACCGCAGGCCGACTAATCAGAGGAAGGGGATTCCCAGCCTTTGCCTCAAGTGGGGTACGCCCTTTCGAATGTCTTTACGTTCCCTCACTCAACCCACATAATGATGGGCGTAGTTACCGACCGTACAACATCTCTCAAGTTACACCCGATTGAGGAGCGTTTCACAAGACCAATTGATGATATGCTCCTCGTGTGTACAGATCTATTGGTATCATTACTAGGTGAGTCTGAGCATGGAGTCAACAGCACTTGGACCAATTGATTCTAGTAGTAGTGCTGCAGTAGGAACCTTTCCCAAAACCCCGAGGTAACCTAACAATACTTGAAACCCACTTAGCGTGGTGATTGTGACCTGACCCAGGAAGCTTCCCCGCCAAAGAACACAGAATGGAGAATCTGGGCTGCGCCACGACTATAAAAGACTGACGTTGAGGTCTTGCACACCCACTTTGACGTGACTCCTCAGATTTTCTGATTAACCACCTCTAACCACATCGAACATCGCCCTCTAGTATATGACCAAAGCTCGACACCAGGCACGTTACTTATCATCTTTACAAGTGACCTCCGACCTCCCACAATATGACAACTCTAAATATTGTGGAAGCCACTATTGACGACCTCCAAGCTGCACTATCGCAAGGTGCCTTGACAAGCGTTGACCTTGTAGCTCTCTACTTGCGACGTATCTCCCGTTATGATCGCACCCTCAACTCAACTCCAATATTGAATAGTTATGTCTTTGAGGAAGCTGCCGCATCCGACGACTATCGAGCTTCTGGCAAGCCGATACGCAAGCTAGAAGGCATTCCTTATACTGTCAAAGATAGTTTCAAAGTCAAAGGCATGACCGTGGCTTGTGGCTCTCCAGCCTTTAAGGATCTTGTCGCTACGGATGATGCGTTTACTGTAGGCGCAATTCGGAACCAGGGAGGCATTTTGATCGGGAAAACCAATATGCCACCAATGGCATGTGGCGGAATGCAGCGAGGCATCTACGGCCGGGCTGAGAGTCCATACAACAGCATCTATCTAGCCGCAGCTTTCGCATCTGGCTCATCAAATGGCTCCGCTGTATCAACGACAGCTTCTTTAGCAGCGTTTGGTTTGGGTGAAGAGACAGTGTCTTCGGGACGCTCGCCTGCTTCTAACAACGGCCTGGTCGCTTACACTCCATCTCGAGGTTTGATATCAATTCGGGGCAACTGGCCACTCTACCCAACTTGTGATGTTGTAGTACCGCATACGCGTACTATGAAGGACATGCTTGCACTTCTTCAAGTGCTTGTTTTACAGGATCCACTCACTAAAGGGGATTTCTGGCGCGACCAACCCTTTGTGGAGTTGCCCAAGTCGTCGCTGTCGGCGGACAAGATTCAGGAGATAGGCAATCATACCACGCTTCAAGGTCTGCGGTTCGCTGTCCCGGCTATGTATATCGGTGGTCCCGTTCCCCAAGGTGCCACTCCAGTTACGGTCAACCCAAGAGTGATCCAAGTCTGGGAGGAAGCCAGAAGACAGCTCGAAAACCTAGGGGCGGAAATCGTTGTTGTTCGCGATTTTCCAGTTGTTACAGCTTATGAGAACCCTGATTTATCACCACAAGGCACAGTTCAACTGCCCACGTCTTGGCATCAGACCGAAAGAGGTCCGATGGTCGCCCATGGTTGGGACCAGTTTCTACGTAACAATGCCGATCCCAATCACCCCAGTCTGACAGGCGTAGAAGGAACGAATATCTTCCCAATGTCTATGCGAACACCCGTCGAACTTGAACATCTCCCGATGAGAACAGCTATTAAATGGAGCCAGCTTACAAGCTACCTGGAAGATACTACAATGTATGAAGTTGAAGATCTGAAAGATGCCGTTCTGGCGCTTGAAGATTTACGCCGAAAACTTATGGACGACTACTTGGCAGATGTTAATTGCGACGGCTTTGTGTTCCCTGCGGCTGGCGATGTCGGCGCTGCTGATGCTGATGTTAACCCCTCTAGTGCTTTGCACGCGTGGAAGAACGGGGTTTACTACAGCAATGGCAATGGAGCCTTACGGCACTTGGGAATACCTACAGCGACAATCCCAATGGGCATGGTCGCGGATAAACAGATGCCTGTCGGCCTCACATTTGCCGGCCGGGCATATGACGACGAAAGGCTCCTTGCATGGGCAAATGCATTCGAGATCAGGACAAATTCAAGAACACCACCACCATTGACGCCCTCGCTGCAAACAGACACGATCATTCTGAGGCATATTAACAGTAATACTAGGCCAAGCCGGCCGTTGATCAGGGTTGATGAATGTCGTGTCTACCCGCTCGACAACCCTGACATATTAGGCGTCAGTGTTGAGGGCGCTCTAATAGTGGAAGCGAATCATGCGCACAAAATGATGGAGCCAGAACCAGTCATTGACATAATAGTCAATGGTGAAGATATATCGGCTGATCAGATATGTATTGCGGATGCAGTTGAGTGTATGGATCACGATGTAGAGATTCATTTCAAGGCACGCACCACGACGCTCAAACTAGGGATCCGAGACAGGAGAGAGCAGACAATGGAAGCTGTTGCGAGTGACAAAAACATGGTAGTAATCATTGCGCGATCAGCGCCCGGTGGATATCCTGCTGGCTGCCTTAAGCTAGTTAGCAATGATTAAGATAGGACTTGAATAGCAACATGCAGCACATCCATCGAAGGTTCATGACTTACCGCAAACAGCGCCTGTCATCCAGCTTCATGAGGTTGGTATGAAATTGGCGTTGTGTCTTTGTTTTCCCGTTAGCGAGAAGAGCGACCGCATTATGCTCGATTATAATGCGCCAGGCATATCGGGGGAGGATGAGAGAAGAAGTTCTTACATATCTCCAGCTAATCCTAGTAGGAAATTGACTGGGATGAGACTCCTCGAGCCCCGGCCTCATCTATATGTAAACAATAATGTCTGCGGGGAGATTACAGGTATATAAGTGCCCTCCATGCCTCAGTTGGTTAAACAAGGAACATGAGGTCCAGTGACGATCAAAGTACCCACTCGACTAACCCTAAGACAACGCTTTTTTTTCCGAGACTGACTTCTCAACTCTCAGGATGTCCATCTCAGATGGGGACCTGTGTATTAAACAACGCCTTTTGGCATGCCAAAATTGTGATCATCGCTAGTTTAGCCCAAAGCAGGGAATCTGTAGCGACATAGTAGATTCATATGTGAAATTAAGTCCTCTGAGCTAATAATATCAGCACCTACTTCTTTACGTAGTATTTTCTTAACACAGGTACTTTCTTCCAAGTTAACGACAAAGTTACTATCACCAAGTGCAATTAGGGCCACTAGAACTATAACCTTCGCCTAGAATGAACTTTCCGAACACTCCTCGGGTATGAGATTTGCAAATGGCATCCAAAGGGCAGAAAATAAGCCTACCGGTGCGAATTCATGGCCCGCAGACGCAGAGTCATCAAGCCATTGCAAAGTCTCAATCCCTTGAGCTTCTGTTGAACTGGTACCTGCATCTGCAGGGTCTCGCGAAACCACTTCATCTTCTCCAAGCGACTTCTCAACCATGATCCTGGCGCGGTCGAATAGCTTATACGCTGCGTCTGCCGAGACGTAAGACTTTCGCATCTCATCCAGAGCCAGCAAGCACAGCGCCAAGTTGTGCTTTGCCAGTTTGCCTGACGACGACTTGGATGATGCCATTTCTAGCAGATGGACTTGGATTGGTGGGCCAATGGTGAGCACGCTAGGTAAACACAGTTAATTGGAGGCTTCCTGCAGTTTTATGTCTTTGAGAACGTACGCAATCGTTTGGGAAAATTTGATCAGATCTTCTGCCATCATACAATTGATGGCATGAGTTGCGTGAGCGGCTGCAGTCCGAAGCTTGCTATTCACAAATGTTTTCCAATAGTCTTGCTCATTATCTGGAACTCCGTCCGGTGTTTCGTGGAGAAATGGCCTGTAAAGAGCTATGATAGCTGCCCTGCGACAACTGTTTAGCCAATGACAATCTATGACCCTCAAGAACGTACTGAGTGTGAAGTCGACATTGATATAAATGAGAAGCTAGCACTGGACTCTGGTCATTGTTCCCATCATGAATCCAGTTGGCTCGAATCTCATTTTCGTCTCTTTCAATGATGGCTCTGGAAGGCCTTGCTCCCTTGATGGTATAGTTAGTTGACAGTATTCTCCCCATGATGCGTGTCACCCCAATCAACTTTAGCCATATCCCAAGGAGGGCACCGAGCTGCTCGGGTATGTAGTGTTGGTACTCTGGCGAACAGCTGGGGCTCGTATCGTATAATCCTGGCATCGGAGTTGAGCAATGATCCAGAGATATCCGCATTGGTCGACCTTGGCCCATTGACAGCCATACCTCGCGGTAGTAAATACACCACCAGATACGGCGCCACAAAGGCCGAATGCCGTTTCGTGCGGGAGATGTCAGCATGTGAAGACCGATAGTGTGAGACAGGCTAATAGCGATGCCGTTCCAGTGCCAAGGGCCCAAGCGATCTTCAGCGTCGGCGTAGAAGTGTCCCATGAGAAATACGGACTGGATCAACGTAACTTTGTTTTTCTCATAATCTGCATCATACAGTGTCTATATGACTTGTCAGCTAAGTCGAGTGTATCAGGGATGAGGAGAGAATTGAGGTTCAGTGTACCTTTGCTCTCTGGAAGGCTTTTCGTTTGAAAGCAAGTGGATCGAAAAATTCTGCGTAAAACAGACTATCTTCAACAAACTGACCAGTCAGTATGTGCATGTCTACCACAGGAGTAACGGAGGACTTACAGTTGCAGCGCACATGAAGACTGCCCAGAGAAGTAGCAAACTGAGTTGACCTTTACTATACGCATCAAAAAAGTCCTGAGGATCCAAGACCGGCTCAAAAGAATGAGCATGATGGAAATACGCTTTGATAAGAGCTTCTTTTAGTGGGTGGGGGGGCAAAGAAAAGCAGCCTTTCCACCGAAGATACTCAATTTCCTCTGGTTGGAGGGACTCTAACGAAGGCATAGCCACAAAAGAATGATTGCTGTCAGTTAATCTTTGGGGCTTGCAAATATCTATTACGAAAGCCGGTCCTCTTCTGTCACCTAGAAGTTGTCAGCATTGGGAGCTGTCGGGCTTTATAGATGGCCTGTGTATGTGTACCTGGGTAGAAAGGCACTCGATTGCCATCACTCTCATGCTCTTCAAGAGTCTCGGCCCATGCTGATGTGGCATTTGCAATCGGGGGTGACTCAACTGCATTGGGGTGCTCGGTCTGTCTTGGTCCATCGACTTGTGCGTCGACTGCTACAGCTGCTTCGCTCTCATCGGTGTTGTGTCCAACAAAAATGGTGTCTCGGCTAGAAGTAGCAGGTGAAGCATTGTGGACCTGCTGGGAGTGACCCGGGGATAAATGGCCGTGCCTATCAGTCATCGAGCCCCGACGAGATGGTTCACAGTCTTTCGCTAGACCAGAAGTATCCCAGTGGGGGCTCTCGCTCTGTGAAGTGCCGAGTTGTGTTGTTGGAGGAGTTTGTCCCAAGGACATCGGATTGTCTTGCGTTCCTGGATCAGACATGGCAGGCAGGATATCCGTGTTCCTATACTAATCAGCTATCTATACCGTCTAATCTGGAAATGTAGTAATCTTGCCGTCGCCGCTTGCGGCTCTTCATCTCGCAGGTAATGTTGTCCACCGCGCAGTTGGCACATGGGGGACCAGACAATGTGACAGTGCACCTGACCTTGCGAGTATTGCAGGCTTTGCAAGCTATATGTGCCCGCTTGTAGGGTCTGTCATTACTCGGCGGCATCGTGCTTATCACTTTTCATCCAGACTTTCCGAAGGTGAATAACATTGGAGACTCGAAGGGCGCTAAAAGATTGAACCGCGGTAGTTAACTTAATAAGCGAAAGGTGAGGTTTAGCAGATATTTCTATAAACAGCATAATATCTTAACAAGGCGACGACAGGGCCAATGAAAAAAGAAGTACCAACGAATTCACAACTATACCTCGTTGAGTATGGCATTGCTTATACTATACCTAGGACTGAAGTTGCATAGTAAGAGCTGGAACGGCTAAAGCAGATCTTTGCAAAAGAGCAGGTGGAAGAATTTATATTATTTGAAAGCTCTCGGGCCATTGACGTACTACCCCGTCAAACCGATCGTGAGCACAGTAATAACTTTATGCCAACTCCTCTGAGATTATAGTCGTGCCGGTACATCTCCCTTCGGTCTCAAAATAGACTGCTGGGTCATGCTTGCAATTAACGTTCCGTGCTGATCCCAAACCCGTGACTCGGAAAATGTCCTCCCGTTTGCGCCACAAAGAGTTCTCAGCTCCCGAAGATGCCAGTCTTCAAGCTTCATGTCCACTGTAAACAATCTCAAAGCGAAATCCAAGCTGGAGCACGCAGCTGCATCATCCAAGAACATTTTGTTGTGTGCCAACGGCAAGAAAGAAAGAAAACCATCCATCATGAAGATAAAGGCTGCGTACTGGTCGTTTGGGCTGGGCAACTGCTGGCGGGAACGAAACCAGTCTGCAGACGTCTTTTGGGGTAGATCAAGGTCATCTTGATCCGAAAACCTGTGCTTGGCGACCCCACTGAGATTATGGGCCGCAATGCCCTCAGGAGCCTGGCGGAACTCAAAAAAGCGATGCATAAGGCCGAAAAGTGATTTATAGAGCGTCAAAGATTCTTCGGATAATTCACGATTATGTACCATTTTTTCACCGGCCTCGAAAGGACTGAGGCATTTGTCGGGTAGGGAGTATTCTTTTCCTGGGAGAGCAGAATATGTCAGAAGAGAACTTTCTGCTGCTTTCTGGAAGTCGGCGAGAATGATCATGCATAATCGTGTTGTGCCATCTTTCTGTTCCTGCTTGACTTCCACTTGCCTGGTTGCAAATGTCTTTGTGTCACGAAGGCGGCGAACAACACACTGCAGCTGGAAGGCGGTTGATACAGGAGCTAGAAAGCTTCCAGTGACTGAGTATAACGCAAACTGCGGGGAAACAGTTTCGCAGGCAGATCGGAGACCAACACCCAATGCGCAGCCACCGTAGGCAAGGTCGGCCATGTTGCCCATGCGGGCTGGACGATAGCGCGACTGGAATTGATCGGAGCCATTGGCCACCACAGAGATCTGATCGTAGATCGTGGGCGCATAGTCATATGCCGATTCGTTGGACGACGTGGACATGATGGTGGGCCAGGATGATATGCGAAGGATTTAAAGGAGGCAAGATAAGTGAAACAAGAAAATGCAAAGCGGGACATGGGCTCTTATCACCCCAGATGATAAAGCAAACTAGTTTATTGCCTCGGCAGATATAGTTCTCATGATGCCGCTTCGGCGGACCAAGGTCCATCTTTGTCTATGTCGTGAGTAGCTGAGCTCCATCTATTTACGTTGCCAATGCATTGCATTTAATTTGATGATAGGAAGAAATTTTAAGATTGATAAACTCATTCAACATCTCGGCGAGATAGATCAAGGCTACACATGTAAAAAATAAAAATAAACAATAGTAAACATCAATCGATTTTTTTTACTAGTTGGTATAGTTATTTGATTGTCAAATTCGAATTACTCTCGCGGGGCCAAATCTTCTGCCACCTTCAGGCGATGAATTCTCGACTAGCGACTGGATCCTGAAATAGGCTCACCGACCTGACGAATGGGCCCGTTTATGGTGGAACCCCCGAAGTTAAAATCCCAGGAGAGGGTGTTTCGAGCATTGCTGATGGATAAGCGCGTGACTTTCCGAGATAGGCCATCATTAGGTGTTGATACAAGAGTTGAGATCGGGTTTCCACCTTGGGATGCAATAGATAAGCCCGACGCAACCGCACGAGTCGAAGATACAGCCTTCGCTAGCATATTGATACTCCGTGAGGGTTCGATGTGTATGCGAACATGCTTAATAACTCCCATTTAGCAGCTGCCAGTGGCTTTACAAGCTACAAAGACATAAACACTTGATGATGTCAAGAACAAACGATATAACCGAGGTCGGCCATCGAAATGCGAACATTGCTCGTGACTTGGGCCATCTTGATGTTTCGGCTGGAATAGTGTAAAGCAGTTTGCCTATCAAGGACTGATTGGTGGGTTTTGTTTATGTCACAACAGGCATAGAATTCTCCTCGGCGAAGGGTCCCATCTCACCTCGGCACATTGTGGGGCGCAACAGTCATTCCTCGGACAAGTCTAGCATGCGACCTCTAAGCCATGTATATCATAGCAGTGACGAGACCTGAAGTGTTGTAGGAATTGATTTCCACAGCAACAATATTGTAAAGACCAACACAAATCAAGTAAACTCCCTATCAAAGCCTTGACTATTATCAACATGTCAGCAACTATTGAAGTCCCAGCTTCCTATTCATCACTGTCCTTCAAGGACATTACCGTCTCGCATGTGCCAGCAGACTCGCCTACCGCTACTAAGGTTCTGATTTTAGCCTTTAACCGTCCAGATAAGCATAATGCTGTTACCGAGAACCTGCTTACTGAGCTTGAGACGGCCTATCGAATTATTGATCAAGACGAGCGAGTTCGGGCTGTTGTTCTGACTGGCACAGGGAAGGCTTTCTGCGCGGGAGCAGATCTCCAGATCGGCTTTTCTGGGCTGATGGCTCATAAAGCGAGCGAAGAGTCCATTGCCAGATATAGAGACCAGTCTGTGCTCGCTTGACAATTGGACTACACGTACGCTGACACAATCTTATAGGGGAGGGCAAGTCGCTCTAGCAATTGCCAACTGCACCAAACCCACCATTGTCGCCATGAACGGCCCGGCAGCAGGCTTCGGGCTCACCATTACCTTCCCCGCCACCATCCGCGTGGCCTGGTCTGGAGCAAAAGTCGCTCTACCTTTTGCCCGTCTGGGTCTGAGCCTCGAGTCTTGTAGTGCCTATTTTCTTCCGCGCTTGGTCGGTCTAGCTAAGGCGATGCATATTGTCACTACTGGTGATACCTACGTTGCCTCCGACCCACTCGTCAGTCCTTTATTCTCGAAGCTCCTTCCGACTCCTCAAGAAACTGTGGCGTACGCCGTGGAGCTTGCGTCCAACATTGGAGAGAATACCTCCCTTACCAGTACTAAGTTTATGAGGGACATGCTGTTGTATAATTCCGACACTCCAGAAGAAATGCATAAGTTGGACTCGAAGGTCTTCATCTCTCTTGTTGGGTCCCAGGACAATGTGGCAGGTATTAAAGGTATCACGAAGAAACAACATCCAGACTTCAGTGGGACTTTTCATCGAGAGTCTGTGCCTTTTTGGCCTTGGTGGGATGCGAACAAGAAGGGCCATTCAAGTGCAAAGCTTTGAGTCTATTGCGAAACTACGCGAGGCGACACATAGCTCCTGTCCTGTCACATAACTATACTTTGTCAGGCAAATGATGGTGACTGCTTCGTCATACCGATAGTTAAAATTCCCAGTCGTTACTTCTGCACTCAATTGATATTATCCTGACACTTCCTAAAATGGACTAATGCCACCGTTTCTCAGTGCCGCTATCTCGATGCTCCATCATTGTAGAAGCCTAGATGGTAAATGACGGTATCAAGACCTCTGACCTCGGCACTATGTGGGTCTCGAGCAAACTCCTGCTCTGCGGCCCCCGTCATATCAAGCTCGGTCCGAACATCCCTCAACAAAATACTCAACGGATGTTGCAGAGTTTTTCTCCTCTGTGGAGTTCCAAGTCTAGCTGGTCTTGATAAAGAGGGCTTGCGTCGACACAAATGCCTAACATTGTGTAGTATTAACGACTTGCCAGCATCTTGCATCTGTGACTGCACGCCATCACTCTTCGTGAACATGGCCGATACTATGTCAAATATGTCAAGCTTTGTCTGGTCATCAATGGCGTCGTTTCTCAGTTGGAGAACGCTGGCGTACGTATTCATGTTGACGAATCTCAAGTCTTTACATTTCATGTGGTTTGTAAGCTACCCCAGGACCTACAACACCTATGGTTCTTTCATTTGCTCACATTTCCAATAGGCACGTTTCCTTCGTGCTTTCGTCCGCCGACTTACCGACTCTGCTCCTGAGAAACATCTTTCTCCTCGATGCATTTTTCTCCCTGCAATCAGCGCCACGCGATCCCCAGCATTAGAATGCGATTATAATCTCCACAAGTCAAACTCGACATATTTCACAGATATGGACATGTCTCGTGGCAACTTCAGTCTCGTTCTCTTCGGCAGGGCTTTTAATCCATTGCCAGGGCCAACGCACTTCACTATGATTTTGGGCGGCACAACGTGTACGTGGCGCAAGGAGATCAAGCCATATGCCCGATACGAGCTGTGGACCCGGGTTCTCTCGTGGGATGAGAAATGGTTATACGTGGTAACTCATTTCGTCAAGTCTGGTGTTTTCCACCCGACCGAGTTTGTGATGCAACCTTATAAGAAGTCGAAGACAGCCAAGGGACAGGAGAAAGAGGATGTTGATACGCTCAAATCGGTTTATGCGTCTTCCGTGGCTCGCTACGTCTTTAAGAACAACAGACGCACCATACCACCAGAGGAAGCGCTCCGGAAAAGCAACCTGCTTCCTAACGATGAGGCTAGCTTGGCAGATATTGAGAAGAAAAGGGCGAGCAGTCTTGCAGTTGGAAGGCTCGAGGCAGGCTGGGACGCAGTTCACAATTGCCTTCAGCCCACAGGAGCTGCTTTAGGGTGGTATCACAGCGCATATTAGAGAAACTAGATATTGTCTACCATCAAAATTAATGAAATTGGCTATCCAGGTCTTCCATTCGTAGTGATTCTCGAAGATGTAGGTGGGTAGTTGCGCTGCTGCGCTTTTCTCGAAAAGAGCAATGGTTACAATATTGACATGTCTCTCAATTACCTAGTCCAGGCCATATATACAGAAGACGCTCGGCCTAGTAAGCAATGCCCTCAGCGACTATAATAGAGTCCGTTTACTGTTAGATTAGCGGCTGAGAAAGGGCTCCACTTTCCTTATCATATCGCTACGTCGTGGCCAAACAAAGTCTATTACCCCTCTTCTTCATCACCGACTATCCCAACGGGCCTCGAAAAATTATTCACCACTGGTTTGCCAGCGCTTAGAGCCACAGATATAATGGGAAGTTCTATCGCAATACAATTACCCTCTTCATCAATATCGGGTTCGACGAAGACAATCCAGTTGTCAGTATAGCAAAGCTGAACATCCTGCCAATAGGGTTTGGGAACAGTGAATTTCGCAGGAAGGTCGACCGTCGTGGGCGGACTACGTGGGCTTGCAGAAAGAGAAATCTGGTCGCATACAAAGACACTACTGAGAACGATCTCTGTAGCTAAGAAGCTAGTTTAAACCTTCATACTAATACTGCGTAGTTAGCACCGCGCCAGTTCTAAAAACAATCCTCAGGGGGTGTAATCCCGTGCCTAAATAGGAAATATAGACCCGATACGAATTTGGAAAGGGTCCATCCATTTCCCCATTACTAATGCGGCTAATAAACCTGCACTATGCTTTACCTCATATGTGGACAGAGAGCAACGGAGTTATTTTGATGTTACATCTGACCACGCCGTGCAAATATCTTCATCCCATCTACATCTCAGATTACTCCAATGAGTGTCCAAATGTACCAATCGCACTCAGAAGTCGCCGCCCAAGTGGCATCTCTTCCTCCGCCACCACAGCTACTCCTCTTTGGAGACTCTATCACACAGGGTGCCTCCTCACTACAGAGTGAGCTGGCGAGACGGTATGTGCGCCGGCTCGATGTACTGAACCGCGGTTTTGGTGGGTACAATACCAAGTCAGCTTTGACTCTCCTACCGTCGTTCTTCCCAGCAGTGGCCCCCTCGAGAACTGTTCCTCGTGTTGCTGCTATAACGGTACATTTTGGCGCCAACGACTCCTGTAGCGCCAGCGAGCCTCAACATTGCGACCTCGAAACGTTCAAATCAAACATCAGACGTGTTTTAGACTGGGAGGGCGTTAGGCTCCATAGGACCAAAGTCCTTCTTGTGACGCCCTCTCCCGTGGAAGAGTATCGTCTGCCACATGACGGAAAAGGCAGGGCAGAGAGAGTGGCCATGTACGCTCAAGCAATTCGGGACATTGGGAAGAAAGAGAATGTGCCTGTCGTTGACCTCTGGACTGCTATGATGCGTACCACTGGTTGGAAAGATGACGGAGTTGATGCCATATTGCCTGGGTCTTCAAGTATATCCCCCAGCATGGAACTTGGGCGACTTTTCTACGATGGTCTTCACTTGAACCAGGAAGGCTATGATATCTACACGCGGGAACTTATACGTGTTTTAGAAGCGGAAATTCCAGAATGTCAGATACAGGGGACCAACGAGTGGTATCCTGAATGGATTAGGTTTCATCCACCTACAGAAACGAGAGAAGAGCCAAACGGCTTCTGAGTTGGTTGAAGGAGGCTGAGAGACTGAGGTTCAGGTACCATGCGACTTTTCATTGTATCCCTTACAGAAAGCTCGAGTAAACAACGATCAATAGATCAATAATACTCATCTGTCAACAAATATAGCAAAGTGAAAGGCTGCACAGTTGAGGTAGCACAGTAATGGTGTTTTTCTTTTGAACACCACAATATAAGGGCGTTATACACTATGTCCAAGGATGCAGTAGTAAGTAAAAATGTGTATAGAAGCTATTTGTTCCGAATCAAAATAGATACATCGCATCTGGTGTCATGAGTCCAAGTCCACAGGTAGTGTTATCTGCTTTACTCATCGCTGCCAAGGAGCCGTTGGGGATGGCAATAATGTCGATGCTACAAAGAAAGAAATCACCTAGAGAACAGGCTAGTTTGAATGGCGGGAGGGGGTTCTGCGACGGCCAGTAGTTGAGACAGCCTTTGTGCTTATAGCCTGAGCATGATCAATCACCACGTCCTGGTACTCTTGCGTGCCATAGAAAATCGCATAGTCGTCGTAAGGATTCGCGCCACTGGGAAGATTCGTCCCAAATTGCCAAAAACTATCGTACGCAATGTCGCTGTCCATGATGGTTTGTTGCCACTGCTGCAGTACAGCCGTGCGGTTCGAGGTTGTGCTCTCAACACCGTATTCTTCCAGAACGATAGGTTTGCCGTACTTGAGTGCCAGCGCTGCATGGTCACGAATCCATTGGTTGCCCCAAGGGTACGTGTAGCCCCAGCCGATAGGGTACATATGCACTGTGCCGTAGTCAAGTGTGGAGATTTTCAGGTTGGCTTCGAAATCAATACCCTCGGAGCAAGAGTACGCATAACCAAGACTGGTATCGCTCGAACAGAGCCAGCCTTCATCGCCCAACGACACACGATGTTTTGGGTCCAGAGATTTGATGAAACCGGATATCTCTGTGGCCCAGTCAGTAATCACACTGCTATCGCAGTTCTGACACCGAGGCTCGTTGCAGAGCTGCCACGAGAAGATAGCTGGGGAGTCCTTGTATCGATTGACGATGAAAGTGACATAGTCCTTGTAGGCTTGCTGGGCTTCTGTGTGCGTCCAGAAGGTCTCGTGGGTGCATCCAAAGTAAGCACAGTAGGTGTTAATGCCGCCCAGGTCATCCCAATTATTCAACATGGGTAGTACCAGCTGAATGCCGTGCTTCTCTGCGGCAGCAACGGCGGCGTCGAGGCGCGCAATTCCGTTGGCTCCAGTGTTGATACTAATGGTCTTCTTGGTGGTATCGAGGAACTGAAAGTAGACAGGCTGATCAGTGCCACTGTTGGTGTTGCCGAATGCCCAGACACGTGTGACTTTCAACCCACTGTCAGCGATTTGGGACATGGCTTGCTCGACATCGTCGTCTGAAGTGAGGTGGCTCATCCACCAGGTGTTGGTGCCAGCGAAGTATTGATTCTTCCCATCAATGTTGAAAACTGGTGCTCCTGCTGTCTGTCTTGGCCGGCCCTTGCCGGCCGACGCCGCTGCAAGGGCAAACAGACTGAGTGAAGCGAATACTCTCATGTCTGTCGTAGATGTAGGATGCGTCTACACAAAAGCTGTAATTGGTAGGATGAACGATTTGACTTGCATGGAGCTGTGGCAAGCCGTCTACTGTAACATATGTATCTATTTATACGTCAGTCCTACAGGACAATGCTGGCTGCTAGTGTCGTCGTGTAGAACAAGGAACTGATGCAGCCCCCGGAGTCGATTTCTCTTAAACGCGTCCCCGAGGTCCGAACCAGAAGTGGTAAAATTTCTGCGTATCATCTCGGGTGTAATTGAAAGGATTGAGTCGATCCCTGGGACCCGTTGGTCTTTCTAATCCAATTGGATTCCCTGACAAAGGCGCTGTTATGGATAGATTGGAAGGGGACGCTAAGCTTGAGTAGTCTGAAATGCCAATATCTTATAATATAGGTCTAATAACCAGGCACTGCATATTACCTTGGTATTATTTTAATTAATATAAAATAAAATCTTCTTATTATTTTATATGCTTCCTTTACTATTTTTATTATTTCTATAGTTATCTTAAATAATACATATATTTTATACAGTATTAGACTTTTCACGGTTACTTGTGTATTGAGTCTCTTTTGCTTCGAGCTCATTACATGGTTTATCCCTGCTGGTCTGGCTCCCCGCATTCGATCATTCGATGTTGTGTGCTTTAGTCGATCATCCCCGCGCGGGGAAGTAGAGTGCCGCTCTTGTAGTTTTCGTACCCTGACTCAACTAACTCCTTCAGGCTCGGGTAGACTCGTTCCGACCTCATTTAGGCTCGGTTCCCGCCCCAGCCTCTAACCAAGTCAGTTCGGCATGGTTGTGCCGAGCAGTAGTAATAGGTGTAAATTGCGCTATCTGTCGTGCTGAGCAAAAGACCATCCTGGACCGCAAGAGGCATAGCTGTAGGTGGATGACAGTTCCCCCGTCCCAACTCACCTAACTCATTCAGGTACGGTTAGACTTGTTCCGCCCCCGCATCTATCATTAACCAACTCATGACTCAGTTAGGGTTATCGTTCCCCGCATCTAACCAGCTTAGTTCGGCATGGTTATGCCGCGCAATAGACCAACCTGAATCACAAGAGGCATAGCTGTAGCAATTGCTCACTGGTGGCAATTGCCGGTCACGCATACTTAAGTTGTTGTGATCCACAGCATAATACCCTTATCAATAGAGATCATTCTTCTCCACGGTATTCCTCATCAGCGAATTTGATACCAAAATGCACAAGGAAGACGACAAAGTCCAGACCGTGGAGAGTGTTCCTGACTCGTTAGCTGCTGATCTGGCGACATCGAAGACAGCAAAAGTCCAGAATGTTGCCTATAGTGATGCCATCGCGAAGGATAACCTCTCTCCACGGGCACCGTCGATCCTCAAACTCTATGCAATCATTGCTCTTGTCACGCTAAGTAAGCAAGCCCACAACAACACACCCTACACGTATTGACCTGACCGTCCATAGATAATTGTGGCAATGGCTTTGATGGAACCATCATGTCGTCCATTAATGCTATGGATCCCTTCCATAAGTTCTTTGGCACTGAAATGCAAGGTGCTTCTATTGGAGCTGTCTTTGCGCTTTATAGCGTCGGAAATATCCTTGGCTGCCTTGTTGCCGCTCCCGCTGCCGATTTCTTCGGGCGAAAATTCGGCATGGCCACCGGGTCAATCTTTGTCATCATTGGTACTGTGATCCAAGCAGCGGCCCAGAATGTTGGAACATTCATGGCGGGGAGACTATTCCTCGGTTTTGGCTGCACCATCGCAGTAACTGCATCTCCCATCTATCTAGTTGAGGTAGCCTACCCTTCTTGGCGCGGAACTTTGGCTGGTCTATACAATGTAGGCGGCTGGTATATTGGATCACTTAGTAAGTGTCGACTGAAAGATTTCCTGTCCTGGAACTGACATCTTGCTAGCCTCCACATGGACCGCCTATGGAACGGGTCGACTAACATCGAATTGGTCCTGGAGGATCCCTATCATGATCCAGGTCGTCCCGGCGGCTATCATCCTGTGCGGCGTATGGTTTATCCCAGAAAGTCCCAGATGGCTCATGAGTCACGGTAAAGAAGAGCAGGCCCGAGCTGTGCTGATTAAGTATCATGGAGATGGCAATCCTGACTCGGCTGTCGTCAAACTGGAGCTCGACGAGATGCGTGCATCCATCGAATACCAAGCAGAAATCGAAGCCAGCCAAAAATGGTGGGATTATCGTATGCTCTTCGACAACAGGGAGAACTTGCACCGCTTTTACTTACTCTTCCTGGTCGCGATTTTCTCCCAGTTTATCGGTGGTTCGGTCATCACCTACTACATGCCCGTCATTCTAGAGAATGTTGGCATCACCAGCTCTTCTCAGCAGCTTCTGCTCAACGGGGTCAATGTCATTTTCGGGTTCTTCAGCGGCGTTGCAGGCTCATTTGCCGTTGAGAAGTTTGGACGCAGACGTCTCTTTCTTTGGGGTAAGTTAAGATCTATCCCACATGCGATCATGGCTGACATTCCCAGGCACATTCTTGACAGGCCTTGCCTATATTCCCATCAACGTCATCGCGGCCAAAGCTCACGGCCATGTTGATACATCAACCGGTTACGCCTTTATTGCGATGATCTTTTTGTATGGTATCTTCTGGTCTTTCTGCTGGACGCCTCTGCAGTCTTTGTACCCAAGCGAAGTGCTACGCAATGACATTCGAGCCAAGGGTATGGCCGCCTCTGGTTTCTTCAGTGGCGTTTCGGGCTTCATCAACACTTATGCCACACCGGTCGCCCTTCAGAAGATCGGTTGGAAGACGTACACCATTTTCCTCATTCTGCATTTTGTGGAATGGGGAATGATGTATTTTGCTCTCGTCGAGACAAAGGGCCGGTCTCTAGAAGAAATCGACGAGATTTTCAAGAGCCCTAACCCGGTCAAAACGTCCAAGCAGAAGCACGAAGTCTACATCAAGGACGGCGCAGGTGTCACTGCCGACTTGGGCACAAAGGAGGCCTGAATGAAGAGGGGAGAGGAAAGATTGAAACAATACGCCATAATCTCTCCCTCACAGATATTATGACATGCGTTGAACAGCCTGTTTAGTTACATTGGATTCCATATATCCACTACGGGGTACGATTTCAATCTCAAGCCATCTTGTATCTACACTTATGAACTCATTCAAGTAATCTTCAAATATGCCTGCATCTCAATGGCTGCTGCTAATGAGCCTAACTACACAAAGACCCGAACTGTAGCCCATAAATAATATTGCAACTGTAAGCTTTTTCGTTCTCCAGGGTACCTTGTCTGTGATCACTGGGATGGGTCAATGAAGAACAAGCGTTTGTTATCCGAGAAGGAAGTATTGGTGTGGAGCCAGTGTGTCTCCAGAGTTCTCTTGCCGCCAGTGCTGGGGGGGTCAGAGTCTGTTTAGTTGACGGTCCTTGAACACGTAGCCATCTCTTTTCAACTCATCTAGCTATTGCCGGCTTTGAAGCCGAAGTTGACTGAGTTGCAAAAACCAATATCGCTTTGAACAAGGCATGCTGTAGTCTAACATCTTGTATAATTGATCTTATTAATCAAGAAAGCTTGTAATATAGTGCTATTCTAGTCTACCCTCGTTGGGTCCCACGATAGTTCTCCCCATAGTCGGTCCCCCCACAAATCCTGTTTTCTAAATATATGTTGTCTTAAAGATAGTAAGAATATTAGGCAGTTCCCTGCAGCACAAGTCGCCGGTGACGAATAACGCTCTACCAGTTGCAAGCAGTGGTACCAGTAGGGTGTAGGACAATGCGTGACTTTACAAAACCGCAACTTCCCAGGTATTCAACCTTCATGTTATAGCATGTCTTAACATTCTTGTCTTTCCAAATGCGGTGGGCGCGGGACTTGCCCGGGTCCACACAAATTGTCTGGGGGCGGCCACATGAGGTGAAGTCCAAGCAACCGCCGGCAACAGTGCCACCGAGACTGCTACCGACTTTGGTGCGTTGGCAATTGTTGCAATCGTTGACTCGGATGTCAGAGTTGGAGGAGAAGATTGTCAGGGGAGGGTCGCCAGGGTTGCTAGGAGGAACAGGCACGGCGGTGAAAGTGTACACCAGGTCGAATGCTGCATTATAGTCAGGGCAAGTACCCTGCTCGCAAGGTCCAGCCAAGATGGTCATGGAATCAGCAGATTTCGGGCTGGTACCAGCTGAGGCGGTGTTGTTCCAGTTGGCTGGGTCCTTGAAGGCTTTCTTATCGACACCATCCCAATCGATCTTGTCCTCGATGCTAAGAGGTGACCACGCAGTAGACACAGCTTTGGGGGCTGATGCGACTGGGGTGGCCGTGACAACAGCAGCCATAGCCATGATGAGGAACTTGGTGGCGACCATTTTGATGAATTTTGGAGGCAAGAAGCGTCCGAGAGTTGAATGTTGAGATGGTCTTGTGGTGTATGAAAGACGGTTGGCTTGATGATGTTGTGAAGCTGTGCCTGAGCTGTGGAAAGAGTGGTTGGACCTGGGGGAAGCTCATATCTTTATACTTGGAGAATGATCATGTAATTCTAAATCTCGTGAGCACAAGAGACTTCAATCCCTGAAGATTGATAGAATGGAGGATACATAGAGTGACCCTCGGCTGCGTCGCGATTGGCTACTTCGCCATTCGCTTGTTTTCCGCCCTGTGAAAGGATCGACTTGTCGTATTCTTACCAATTATTTAGTGAGAACACTTGTCTTACTTACTTTCCGTTCGGCGTAAATATCTGTTAACTGTCGGTTTGTCAAGGTACATATTGCTCAGGTGGGGCTTATACAAAAAGGCCTCGCTAGGAGCAACTAGTACATGCAGCAAAAATTCCCTCCAATTATAAAGCCAGTTCCATTATGACAGCTGTTAAATAGGAAGAAAAGTTCTCTCTTACTGCATAGACAGCGTATTCCTACGCATTGGGTAGTGTGATCAGGTTATAAATCGTAGATATACCAGGGGTAGTGCATGGACCAGTCACCGGTTAAGTGGGAATCTTTAGTAATACAGGATCGGATTGTTACTTTGAAACTGGACCGAAATCGTTATCCGGGCTCTTATCTGCTGTTTGCTGACAGCCACCTGCCTAAGTGAATCTTAGCCTAGTTATCTCATCAGTCATTTCATTTATCCCACTGCCATCCTCGGCATGTACAATTGAGAAGCAATGCCTTTACGTTCTATTTCACCAATCCCGTCTTAGCTACGAATACGGATCCCCGCAAAAGGATTGCTCCGAAGGAACCAGCTGGGCCATGCCGACCAATGACTGCAATACGGACCGTCGCCTGCAAGATGGGGCACGCTGCCTGGCACATTGTGGACTGCTTGTGCCCTGTCCTTGTCGCTTATTAGTTATTGGATCAGTGATGTATTATTAATTCAGATTTTGTGCAGTCAATACGCCACAGAATACCGAATCTTCTGAACTCTACAAGCTTCCTCAAACCGCGTGTCCTTTTTTATTTCTCCGGGTCAAAGAAGATTACATTGCATGCAAACGCAGATCCGAATAACGGCACTGGCCCGACGGAAGGGACTAATTTAAGTGGAAGCAAAAGCAGTAGGCTGTGATACGCTTGCCAGGTACAGTATGCGACCAAGCGGCGCGGGCCGGGACGGACGGACGAACAGGCCAGCCTCAAAATCATTTAGTGGGCCCGGAAGAGGAGCCTCGGAATGTCTTCCGAGAAAGGATGACAGGATGCTAGTGTCACGAGTAATAGAAGAAGACATATACCCTACGGCATCCTAAGATATCCTGCGCAACCAAGAAAAACTATATTCAGACATGCCGCTTGCCCCTCCAAATAAATTATTCTGCAGTCCCAATGACTGTATCCTATGACAAGGTGCCTTGAAAACCTGATAGAGCAGCGAATTCCAATCCTCTCACAACTCTAATAATCAAACATGGTCAGGACCTAGGATAAATTTCATTAATAATACCACTCTATCATGGAATAAGAGAAAATGACGAGCGAACTACTTACCGATTCCAACATCTCTGACAACGTCAGGGAGCTGGAACAGTCCATTGTTTCATTGCGACAGGCAGTTCACAGTCTGCCAAATGGAAATCCCGACCTACATCATCATCTCTATGAGCTCGGAAACCTCCTCCGTGAGCACCATCTCGCTACGAATGGAGAAAGTGATCCTACAGAAGCCCTCTCTATTTCTCGAGAAGCGGTGAAAGTCCTCCCTGCAGACAATCCGATGGCTGCAACATATTTAAATAACCTGGGTCGCCTGTTGCGTCACAAATTCGATTTCGAGAGAGACCCAAGAGACCTTGATGAGGCTGTTGAGGTTTTCAGGCGGTCTGTTGATCTATCGAAAGATGACCCATCTTGGCTCCAATGGTTAACCAACCTCGGTAATAGCATCTACACTCAATATAATGTCACAAGGTCTCTCTCTGCTTCAGAAGAGTCTATTAACATGGCCCAAAAATTACTCGAATCATCCCCAGAGAAACACACATCCCGCAGTACATTACTGCACTTACTCGCCGGTAGTTTTTCAGATCGACATGTCCTTACGGGTGCAATGGATGACCTCAATGGCATATCTTGTTTCCTAGATAGGCTATTGTTGCAACATCCATTGATGGGCGCTGATATCAAGTCTTTGGAAGAGCAGTATCCTGATCTAGCAAGTAAGTTCATTACTCTTCGTGAACAGCTCTCAACTCCTTCTGGAACAACATTGGATATCGAAGATCCTGTATAGAATGTTGACGCGAGTCGGCGTCACGAGGCAGGTGATGAATTTGAAAGGTTGCTTGCAGAGATTCGTCAACAATCAGGCTTTGAGACCTTTCTACTACCTCCTTCAGAATCCGAGATCAAATCGGCAGCAGACCGCGGTCCTATCATCATTATCAATACGAGCATGCTACGTTGCGATGCAATTTGGTTGAGAGACACCAGATTACATCTGTGCCTCTAGCTAACTTCAACCGCCATGACATGATTGAGTATGTTAAAACTGGCACATTCAGAAGTGACGAGGCTCTTCAATGGCTGTGGGACTGCGTCGCAAGTCCCGTCTTGAGTGCTTTGGGATTCGAACAGCCCCCTTCTGAAGGAGATTGGCCTCATGTTTGGTGGATCATGACAGGACTTCTGAACAAGTTTCCCATTCACGCTGCTGGCCATCACTCGAAAGGCTTTTTCGAAACGGTCATTGATAGAGTTATTTCGTCATATAATAGCTCCATACGGTCAATAATCCGCGGTAGGATGCGACCCAGACACATGCACTCCTCGTTGCAATGGAAGCTACCCCCGGGAGCTCAAAACTTCCCTTCGCAACCAGAGAGATAACAATTATTCGTGGCTTATGTAAGTCAATGCTAGTCGAGTCAGAAGAGCCTGAACCGAATAGGGATAATGTTCTGACAAGCTTGCTTGAATGCGGGATATTTCACTTCGCCGGCCATGCCTGCACAGATCCTGAGGATCCAATCGGAAGCTATCTCTGTTTGGATCAAGAAAGAGAGAAATGCCTGACCGTTTTGGACCTGTTAGACATAAACCTACAGAGTCGCTCCCCTTTTCTTGCCTATCTCTCCGCCTGCGGCACTGGCCGTATTGGGAATAACGACCTGGCGGACGAAGGAATCCACCTCATAAATGGATTTCACACAGCTGGTTTTCGTCATGTCATCGGGACTTTATGGGAGGTCAAGGATGAGATCTGTGTAGACATGGCTAGGATTACATATGAAGGAATAATGCAAAATGGAATGACTGATAAAGCAGTCTCTCAGGGACTCCACAATGCTTCCAGGGAGCTTCGAGATCGTTGGGTGACAATGGCTAGCGCTGATCACCGGACAGTTGGAAGCTCACAGGCAAGAGGGGGCGAAAATGAGAGAGGCGACGGAGGTGAGAATGAAAGGAGAGGTCATGAAGGGTTTTCAAGGGATATTGTAACATGCGATGACGAGCCTGTTTGGCCTCCTTGGATTCCATATATTCACTATGGGGTATGATTTTCGTTTCATGCTAGCTTTTATATAAACTCGGAATGCACTTTAGTCATCTTCGATTATACCTGCGTCTCATTACAGCTTCCCAATCCTCAGGGTACCTTATCACTGGTACCCGACACAAATACAATAAGAACAGTGGCATATCTGATTAATCTGTCAGCGCGTCTCGATGAACCAAGGCATTAATACTCACGTTGTACCAGCTACTACAAGTTCAGTCGTTTTCGCCCGCGTCAATCCAGAGAGTACCAAAAGGTAAACGATAGTAGACAGCATGACAATAAAAATCCGAACCGCGGCTGTCGACACAACGTTACAAACAACGATTGGCAGTAGTAGAAGCAAAGTAACCAAGCATATCAATAGTCCTTTGGCAACACGACTAACAAAAGGACCGTTGTATATATGGACGTTCGGGTCGGATGAAACATATCTATTGCTCTACTTCATTAGTATGGGTCTCTTGTGTGAAGTGGCCGTTGGCATACTTCTCGGAACTTGGGCAAGAACTGCACAAGTTTTTCTTCAATCCAACTCTCAAACCCTTTGACTGCGTTATCAATCGTTGGGACTAACGAGACAAGGTCGCAATCATGCTCAAGGTAAGATGTCTCATTCCCAGCCAGACATCCGTTACCATCAACCCAGTTCCTAAGGCTTCGCACATCTCTTGATTCCGCATCGCTGAGAGTCAGTGCTAGATTACTTTTATCTATAAAGCTATCTGCGACATTGTCAGCAGAATGAATAGCCAAATGAAAAGGTAGCCATACCATAGTCAGCTAGTGCAGACTCTATCCTCGATAAGACCGATAACCTTTCAGCATTTCTATCGATGCGACTCTTTCCAAGAAAGATAGGTGCCTTCTCCAGTTGATCGATCTGGTCGAGTTCACTCTCTAGGATTGACAGCTGGTCTTGTTTTAGTAACAGTAGCCGTGCTCGGAGCCTTTTGAAGCGTCGAAAGATAAAAAATGGGCTATGCGACGCGATAAGAGCTGTGAATCTTGGATAGCCTGGTCTGAAATCTTCAACTATCTGAGGGTTAGAAAATTACGTCCCTTTCGCTGAAGAGATACTTTACTTTTCCCCGTTGGAGGTTTGCCTGATTGTGATCGAGTGGCCGAAAGAGGAAGAATGGGCTGACCCGTCATGATGTCGTCAAGGTGGGATGGCTGGCACACAAACTCATGCAGGACTTTAGGACTCTACAAGCCACCTTGAAGGAAATGGTAGTTACTTTAATCTTCGAGCAGGCTCTAGACGTAACCAATGAAGTGTCACCACGTTGAAATGCAAGTCTAGGCGAAGGCGGGCAATATACAAAAGTCCAATACCCACTGTTGTTCCGTCAAGTCATTTCTCAAGTCATTTCTCCCTTTTTCGCAATTCCACTAGCGTCTCTCCAAAATGTCTGACGGCCAGCAGTAAGTGGTTGAACCTGTGGGCTTGGAAGTAAGCTGATGCTCTTCACTCCTAGGAAGAATGGATCGCCCGAGTACACCCCAGGCGGCAAGCGACCATTCGTCTCGACGTATGACAATGTACGTGATAGTTGTCACTTGGTTGGTCGAAAATCTTGTACTGAATCAGGCTGTGTAGGCACCCAGTCTCAAAGTAGGGGATAGCGTCTACTTGCTGAACACTGATGGCTCCAGAGAGGGCCCATATCTTATTGCAACAGCTCCAGTTGCTGGACAATGCACCCTCTCGTATTCCAATGGGAGCCCATTCAGAGACAATGCGGGCATCGATGTGGATGATCTGGAGGCCTGTTGAATGCCTACAAGATAAGCAATGATAAGCAGGCATTGCTTGGGCACATGATTCCTCAGGTCATTTTTGGTGGCTTTTCAGGCAGAAACGCAATTGTGGCAGTGTAAGGCAGCAAGAAGGCAAAGTACATTGAAAGAACAATGCATATGCATGAGAGCCGTCTTAGCGTGAGACCAATCGCATACGTTCCCTGTATCATTACCCCTCTTCATAACAATTACGATAAGTCAGGCCCTTCGAATAACATTGCAAATCAGGTTCCAACCCATTCAAACAATGGCCGAAAAGGAGTCTGTTTCATCAAAGCATTATGCCATTCTTATTGGGATCGACGCCTATCCTGACAAGTATAAGTCATCGTTAAAAGGCTGTGTACGAGACACACAACAAATCAGATCATTACTCGAACAGCAACCATTTCACATCAATATCCAGACCTTCACAGCCACGCAAGATTTTGAGGGCAGCACCACGGGGCCAGTTGAAGACCCTACTTTGCTACCAACATACGATAACGTAACTAAAGCTTTCAGAGATCTAACCTCTGTGGCACTATCTGGGGATTATGTCTACATCCACTACTCGGGACATGGTACCCGCATTGCTCCTACCGCCAAGCCATTCTCCAACCAGCATACAGGAGATTTGGCTTTAGCCCTTCTTGGTGGTGAATATGGAGACGAAGTAAAGCCCCTTGGAGGGCACAGATTAGCACTTGCGCTGAATGCAATGGTGCTAAAAGGCCTAGTTGTCACTCTGGTCCTTGACTGTTGTTTTGCAGCAAGCATCTATCGTCTGGATCGTTCCGATATTCGGTTCCTTCAAATCGATCCAGAGCTTGCATCTGCATACTTCGCCGATAATACTTTGTCAGAGGAAGATGGAGAAAAGCCCGACTCGGACTATCGTGACGTGTCTATGCTGCCAAGCTGGTTGATTAACCCAAACGGGTATGCACTTCTTGCAGCTTGCGGCCCTCATGAAGAGGCAGGCGAAATAGTTCACCGGGGAGAATCTCATGGCGCCTTGTCCCATTTCCTGAACCTCAGTATAAGAGATGGTGGGTTGAATCGCAAACACAAAAACATCTTCTACCGTCTCAGCTCCAAATTTCGAGGTCACTCGGTTCAGCAAAATCCTGCATTATATGGAAACAAAGACCAAGGATTCTTTGGTGAGAACACCTTTACAAACTCACGACCGATGGTACTTGTTGTGAAAAACGGTCAACAGTTTACACTGCACGCGGGCCAGGCTCATGGCATCTCTGATGGCGATGAGTTCATCCTGTATCCTTCCAGCGTCCTTGAGCACAATGAATCCTTCCACACGAATCTGATCAAATCAACGGTTGCAGGAGCTGGCCCCTTGACCAGCCTGTTACACCTGGACGATGCGATAGCTGCTACAACTGACAGTGACTGGGTTGCTGAACCACAAACGAGGCTGGCTTTTCGCCAGTTCCCGGTGTCTTTTAGCTACAGCATATCTACCCAAGATATCTGGCTACAAGCCTTGACAAGATACGAGATGACACATGCTGAAGAGAACGGCTTGAAATCCTGGTTTCAGGTCGAGGCTATCGACGACGAGTATAAGATACTGACTCGAAATGGTGAAGAAGTGACAAACCTCCCTGCATTGCCGCAAAGCACAACAACCGCAGAGGATGTTGCTGCAGTCTTAGAGCACTTAGCTCGATACGAACTTGTCAGGAATCTCTCGAATCCATTTGTGGAAGAAGACTTTCGAACATCGTTCGACATCAGCATTACACGAGCTGGGAATCACTTCGGCCCAGACTCTGTCGTTAACGTTGAACAGGATGCAGGCAAGGCATCTATGTTCGAGTTGAAGCTTCAGAATCACGGTACCAAGGTTCTGTATTTACATATCCTTGACCTTGGTCCTCTCTGGCAGATTGAGGATATCTATTGCGGCAGCTACGCAGTGGTTCCTCCATACAACCAGAATGAGAGGTTCATGACAGGTCATTTCATCAAGAAATTCAGAACCATGGTACCCGATGAGTTGAGAAAGCAGGGCATTGAAGAGTGTAGTGATACTCTCAAAGTCTTGGTTACGTCTCAGCCGACATCTTTTGATCTGCTGGAACTCCCCAAGATTGGACATGTTCTCAAGAAGAGATTACCACTCGATAATGAAAGATCTGGAGGTAGCTCTGCCGAGCAATGGATAGCCTTTAACTTTCCACTCAGAACTTCACTGGCAGCAGAGCTACGACCCACGAAGACCGGCTAAGTAGGCAGTTAGGTTATTTGGAACTTTTAGAGCATTGACCTCATGTCATATTATACGTCTCTGGTCAGAGACAATTTCCTCTATATAGTATCTATTCTCTCCGGTATCTAGTTGCATTCCCAATTCTGAAGCCTATCCAACAACCAACCACTTGTAATTAGTAGTCTCGTCCTCCTCTGATACATACCAGGTGCAAACCCGGACCCCATAATCAGCTTGTCGTCCATACGGCACAGGTCATCGTAGTAGCTCCACTGCATACACTTGTCCCATGACTCACAAGCTGCTTCGCATGCATCGATAGACTTCCAGGCATTGGTCCACAGACTGCGGTTGTACTTGGACTGTGGGTCAGGAGATGAATTCGCATTGGCAGAAGTGATCTCGAAGAGACTGGACATGTTGTCCCACCACTCTCGCCTCTTGTCTAAATTTGGAGCGATCATCCTTTTGAAGAAGTCGCTATGAAGCATCGGTGTCTGCTTTCGTGTTAGCCCAACGAGCTTCATCTAGCCTCACGATTTGTAGTTTTCCAACTGACCTGGAAGTCCCAGCTCTTCTCCAACTCGTAGTATCTCGCTATGTCCCGACTGTGCGCTTTGTGCCATGACAAAAGTGGCGTGCACCAGTTTTCACTCCTGAAACCAAACTTCCAGTGCACTACAGCATTGAACCCCCAAGTAAACTTCTCATCCCCCCCGTTTTCTCCAAACCGAACCCCATATTCGCTCAGTGCACGTCCAAGGATATGATCGCCACATCCGTGCCGGCGGGTATACTCGGCAAAGTCGTCCACCAATCGCGGATTCTTTCCGAACGACATCTCCCATGCACCTCGTGAGAGCGCAAAACCAGAGCCGCCGTGTGCGAAGGTGACGTTAGCTATAAAGGCAGAACTGCCGAGGTAATGCGGCTCCTTCCAGTCGAAGGATGATAGATATCCCAGCACATTGGGCAAAAAGATATATGCATCGTCCTCCACGAAGACATACCAGCGTGCATGGGGCCAGTTCTTGCCAGCGTGGTCCATGAGCGGTAGAAACTTGTACTTATCTATAACCCAGCCGCCGACAGGACCTTCATGATCACCTTCTATATTAGCACGCTCGATGTAGACGTTGTTTGCTTCGTATTGCGGAACCGCGTGGTAGACGTCGAAGTCGGGATGGGACTTGGTGGCCTCTGTCATGTTCGTGAGGATATCGATAGTTGTAAAGTTGCCGATAGTTTCTGTGTAGTCTGAGTATATCACAACGTTGTCTGGATGAACTCGCTCTGGAGAAAGGCTAGTGACTAAGTGAACGAGCAGACGATGGTACATCGAGGTCCCTCCCGTCTTCATGATCAAGAGAACGTCGCTGCTCTGAAGTTCTCCATGGCCACCAGGCCGAGTTTGCTGCGGTTGGTGAGGGATCTTCGAAGCGGACTTTGTCACTGACGCGGAAGAGTGGCTCACAGGGACTCTCACTGCGCCGAATCTTTCCACGGACGGATTAAGAAGGCAGTAATACAGTGCGAGGCACCCAGCAATAATGACAACAGGGAGAACCCGGTTATCCTTGTAGGTGGTGAACATGACCTTTGTCAAATAGGTTGGTGTAAAGCATGGGATCACAGCTCCTATGTAAAGTGAATAATTCTGGAACCAAATCGGCGGGCATTGGGCGGTATATGGAGACCCTGAGAGCATTTCGGGTGCGTCAGGGTCATGCTCCATCATGAGCAAGATCACTGAGTCAAATACGAGGAATGGCCGGAAACACGGGCGATCGAAATTAGATCCTGTTTCATATTAACAAAAAGTTAAAGCTCATAGAGACTTCGAAAGAGCGGTGTACCAACTTTAACCATATAAGAGACCACGTCCCCTATTGTGGGCGTTCTTTTGCCAGTAATATTCCCGCTTCTTACCTTTACGAGATGACACCTCAACCCGGCCAACTTTAAAATTTGACGACGCTACCCGACAAAACCCTGTGATGTTGATCGCACTGACAGCAACCAATCACGAAACATTCCTATGGCGCCGTTTTGTATTTAGAGTTCCTATAAAATGGGACAAAGAACTTTTTATCTACTCGTTATCATATTTACTATGTAATGAGATGAGAAATAGTGGACTCTATCCCCGTAGCGTCTCGTATCTATAAGAGCATTTCAGTTGCACCTCTCGCAAACCTCATCACTCTCAAGCTCAGTTTGTTCCATACACTAATTATCATTTTCTTCTTCATGCAAGCTCTATCTGCTCCCTGACGACTTTTGGTGCCCCAACGGTCTATACAACTCTATTTCCACGGCGCGATGGGCACCTTCGAGATTATTAACAGCAGAGCTGAGAAGCCATTTACAAGTATCCCCAGAGGACGAAATTCATCGATACTTAGACAACTTCTCAATTTGGCTGGATGTATACTCATTATCCCAGCATTCTATTTGGCTACCATACAAACCCTACACCCAATGACAATAGATATACTGCTTGGCATTACCCTGACCGAATACAATCGTTTTGCCAACGAAGGACGTCGTATCTCCTTCTACTCAACAAAAGATGCGTCTCTGCAAAGAAAGGATACCATAGAGACAGAGAAGAGCGGCTTCGAAACGCAGAAAAATGTTCAGAAGCTCGGTTGCATATCGACTGTGGTTGGCTACCGTGAGGATCCTGGGTTGTTTACGCGGGCTCTTGAGAGCTACAAGACAGCTCGAGGTCAAGCCTTCATGTTAGTCGGCATTGATGGTAACGACGCAGAAGATCAAGACATGTTCTACGTGTTTAAGAAGGTTGTGCTGCATCGAGGTAATTCGTCTTGAGATCGGCATTGCTAACAGGATGGGCAGGTCTATCCTTCTGAGTCTCGGATCATTCACATAGAGGAGCCATTGGGCGACATAGCACAGCGGCTTTATACTAAACATTTAGCTATGCAACACGAGCAGGGGCTTGAGATCGACGAAGAGGAAAGCAACAACGTGGTGATCCGGCATTGCATGAAGCTCGCACGAGTTATACTTGATCAACAGGGCTGCTTGGTCGGCGACCCAGATGGTATTAGACATCTATGCCTCGTTCAACAACATATGCACAAGAAGGGAATAATGTTTACCACTTTCATCTTTTCGCTTGTTATTGCGGACATACTCGGCATTGAGTTCATGTGGTCGTCAGACTCCGATACGCTGGTGTTGGAGGACACTCTTGAGAGGACCATCAGCACCATTGCCGGGGATCCTACTGTTGGCGGCGCCAGCTCAGGATTGACTGTGCACAACGGCGATGACACGGTAGTAACGCGCTTAGCTGCCACGGTTTACTGGGCCGAGCTTTATCTGACCCGATCCACGCCCGCTTGTACCGCAACGAGTGACTGCCAAAGCGGGCCTTGCACAGCTTTTCGACTATCAGCTCTATCGGCCATTCTTATGCCCTGGTATATGCAAAAGGTCTTTGGCAAGCGAATGGTACGTGACCAATACTCATTCCTGTCGATGAAGTCTAGAGGCGAAGCTGATCTGGCTGCTAGATCGTTAACGAGGATCGCCACCTTACCACCAACCTTCTCGTCCGTGGCTGGGGCGTTGTCTTTGCTTCCGACGTCCTTACGGTTACAGAGACGCCCACTACTGTCACACGCTGGTTGCGACAACAAGTCCGCTGGGCCCGAGCCACGCACATCGAATCCCTCCTCATCCCACGTGTCTATGCCATGTCTCATCCTATGGCATTCTTCGCCGCTGCCAGACGTGAGTTTGGACCTCTAGTCGTTGCAGTGGCCGTGCTCTCGTACTTCTTCACGTCTCACAAGCTGCTTTATTTCAGCTACCCGGATCTGTTTCTGCGAATTGGTATTACAGCGATTTATAACATTTTGCGCAATCCAGATAGGTTAAGACTTGCTTTGTCTTGGTATGTTGTGCCGGGCATGTTCTTCTACAATGTGCCTCTACCAGCAATACACATCTGGAGTTTGGTGACACTAACGGCCGATACCTGGGGGACGGCAATGAGGGCGAGCACGGAGATCTCCAAGAAGGACAGCACTCGGAAGAAATGGTTCGAGACAGGCTTCTTTGTAGTTTGGATGGGGATAGTTGGCGGTACAGTGGCCAGGTGGGTTGCGTCCGAGTTTCACTTTTCCCAGGGCCAGACACTTGTATCGATGTTGTGCGGCATCTCGCTCGCATCTGTCGGCACCTGGAAGTCAACGATTGCGAGTCAATAGACGTAACCCGTAATACATTTATTGGCCCTAGCTTACCTGCTACTTGATAAATCCACCCCCTCCAGACTCGGGCTAGCTCATACCGATTCTCATTGTCAAGGATCGGCGAAGTAAAAATTGGAGAAAGTGCCTAAACCCCACTACCTCGACTCATCACTCGGGGGGTCTGGGGCTTCTGGCTTTAGTGCACCCTGCGCTGTATAAAAAGTAGTAGTCAAGTGGCCTCCGCAGCCCTCAGCACATTTGAAGGATTGCGTCTCTTCAGAACCCAAACGTCTGTCACTATGTCTTTGCAAGTTGTCGATGTCCGTTTTGAGCATTATCGCAGTCCCAACACTTTGGGTGTTCATGAGCACAAACCACGCGTTTCCTGGCGTCTCAGCAACGCCCCTCCAGGCTTTGAGCAGCAAGCTTATGAACTGCGCTTGGAGAAGGTCATCGGACAGGAAAACCACCTCGTGTGCACTTCTCAAGTGGAATCTTCAGAGTCCCATTTAGTGCCTTGGCCAGCTGAGTCGCTCGTTTCTCGTTCGAGATACACTGTTTGCATCCGAGTCCGTGGGAAAGGAGAGACATCCTTTTCCGATTGGAGCGAACAGGCTTGGCTGGAGACAGGTCTGCTCAACCGGAGTGACTGGAAAGGCAATTTCATTTCGGCTCCTTGGTCAGAAAAGGACAATGATAAGCCAAAACCAGAAGATCTCTTCCGCAAGGCATTTACGTTGAATTCTGGCATCGCATCAGCTCGCCTCTACATAACCGCGCAAGGTATTTATGAGGCAGAGATCAATGGCCGTCGCGTTGGCGATTATTTCCTGGCGCCTGGTTGGAGCTGTTACGACAACGAATTGACATATCAGACGTATGATGTTACCGATCTTCTTGACTGCCGGGACAATTGTCTGGGCGTCCGTCTTGCCGAAGGCTGGTTCACTGGCAGATTGAGTTTCGATGGCGGCATACGCAACAGATATGGCACGCGCACAAGCCTCCTTGCACAGCTCGAGTTGCAGTATTCCGACGGGTCTTCGCAAGTTATTACAACAGACAATGACTGGATGGTAGCTCAAGGCCCCATTCGCCTGGCGGAAATTTACAACGGCGAAAAGTACGATGCTACGGTTGAGTTACCTGGCTGGTCTTCTCACGAGCACGTCACTGGACATTGGGAGCGTGCCGTTACATTGCCATTTATATCTGAGAAGATCAACTTGACAGCCGGTTATCGTGAGCCTGTCCGACGAATTGAAACATTGAAGCCAATTTCCAACATCACAACACCATCTGGGAAGACAATCCTCGATTTCGGGCAGAACCTGGTGGGATATGTTCGGATCAAAGCAGTTAAAGGACAGCGTGGCCATGAAGTCACATTGAAGCATGCTGAGGTCCTCGAAAATGGAGAACTGGGTGTGAGGCCTCTCCGCGTTTGTGACGCCACGGATGTCTACACACTCAGAGGAGATACTGAACCGGAAGTGTACGAGCCTCGATTTACATATCATGGCTTTCGTTATGTTCAGGTCGACAACTGGCCTTCCCAAGACCAGGATGTTGTCGCTGCGCTCGAGGCTGTTGTCTGTCATACTGATATGGAAGAGCAAGGAACCTTTGCATGCTCCAATGATAAGCTGAACCAATTATTCAGCAATGTCCGCTGGAGCATGCGAGACAACTTCCTTTCAATTCCAACAGACTGCCCACAGCGCGATGAGCGACTTGGCTGGACTGGTGATTTGGCCTTGTTTGCGCCAACAGCTACTTATATCTATGGATGTTACCCGATTCTTCGAGACTGGCTCAAGGGTGTATGGTTTGACCAGCAGCGACAGGGAGGAGTACCTCCAATGGTCTCACCAAACATCCTTGACAAATGTAGGATTTGGGGCCCTGTTTGGCCTTGCGCTATTTGGCATGATGTTGTTGTCTTGGCTCCTTGGGCACTGTACGAAGAAACGGCGGACCCTGCTATCTTGGCTGACCAGTTTGAGTCCATGGAAACGTGGTTCAAAGTCATCCCCAAGAACAAGGACCGATGCACCCACTTGTGGGATTTTAATGCCGATCAACTCTCCGTAAGTCTTTCCGCATCTCTAAAATCGCTTTTACTAATCTTGTCAGGACTGGCTTGACCCAAGCGCTCCCCCAGACGATGCTGCCAAAGCCACGACAGATCCTCCACTGGTAGCCAACGCATTTCTGATCAACTCCCTCGACATCATGGCACGCGTCTGCAGCGTTCTTGGAAAGGCCGAAGATCATTTGCTCTACAAATCATGGGCCGACAATGCACGAGCAGAGTTCACCGAAGAATACGTCTCCCCAAGCGGGCGACTTGTATCAGACACGCAAACCGCTTACTCGTTAGCAATCTGCTTCAAGCTCCTCAACAAGGACCAATTATCACGAGCTGGGTCGCGACTTGCAGAAATCGTTCGAAGAAATGCCTTTCGCATCGGCACCGGCTTTGCTGGTACACCTTTTGTCTGCGAAGCCCTCACCTTGACTGGCCATAGCAACGTCGCTTATTCCATGCTTCTCAATGAGAAATGCCCCTCGTGGCTCTATGCTATCTCGATGGGAGCTACTACAACTTGGGAACGTTGGGACAGTATGCTACCTGACGGATCAATCAACCCTGGCGAGATGACCAGCTTCAACCATTACGCTTATGGGGCGATCGCCAAGTTTATGGTTGAACGACTTGCTGGATTGCAGCGGGTTGAAGCTGGATGGAAGAGATCTAGGGTTCAACCTGTTGTTGGAGGCGATTTCACTTGGGCGTCTGCATCGCATTTGACGCCTTACGGCAGGGTGTCGAGCTCATGGAAGCTTGAAGGTGACAAGACAGGAAAGCAGGTCGTTCGTGTAGATGTTGAAGTGCCACCAAGCACGTCCATGGAAGTTGTTCTGCCTGGTGAGAATGGCACTCAGAAGACTGAAGTTGTTGGATCAGGAAAGTGGTCATTCACGGCAGATTATAACAAGCAAGGGGAATGGCCTGTGAAGGAGATCAAGTTCATCTTAGCCAAGATTGTTGAGGAGTTCCAGAAAGCAGAAGAGGCCAAGGCTTGAGCTCCAAACAGGAAGCAGGACGCAGAGAAATCTAGCTAGAATAATCGCAATGCTACGTCGACTTGAACTCGAATATTTCCTGTGCACATTGTGAGACCAACAGTGTTAATATGTTTCATCAAGAGGACGTCCATGCCTGATGCATGGCTTCATATCGGCAACGCCGTGTCCTTCAATGGTCTAAGATTTGAATAGTGTCTGGGTCGGCATATTAACTCGCGAGAAACCCCTCGAATTCCGAATTCGCTGAACGCCTCATTGCTCTAATCGACCTTGCAAGCAGTTATATCACCAATAATCTATGGGCAGTCAGGTTCGTCGCACGATCCGATGATCTCTTCCGATGTTCATGCATTCATTTCGGCGGATCAGTAACCGAATAGTGACTTGGATCACGAGTCAAATTCTTGCTTGGTCTACCCACCATTCCCAAGTTGCCAATGAAAATAGATCAAAGCCGGCATTACTCTAATTAGCGCCGGCTTTGGAGGCTCGCCATTGGATCAGCTGTAGGTTATCCTTGCCGGTCTAGATGCTTGTCTCAGCCCACCTTAATTTTTCTCTCCATCTGGGGCCCCGCACTTGTGAACCCAGCAGGTTGGAGAAGCATTTCCATCCGGGGAACTTTGTACCGCGATGCCAATAGCAACGCTTTCTTTTTTCTATAAGATGGATCATCTGCTGTCACTGGCATCGTTTCTCCATCACTCTCCACAAGATCTATTGTCTATCTCTTGATACCCATACCATTTGTGCAATCTCTCGTCAACATCCTCCCTCCCAATGGAGAAGCCTGAATCAACCGCTCACGTCGAGCGATCAGACTCCAAAACCGTCCACGTCTCGCCAGACCACACGCGCGGCCATGCCATCCAACACCAAGAACACAACCGAACCTACCTCCAGACCCTCAGGAGAGATCCATGGCTTCTCCTCTGGATTGGAGTCATGCTTTGGACTCTCATCGTCCGTGGTTTCGAGAACCAGTCTTCTGGTTCCGTGATCAGCATTCCTGTGTTCAAAGAGCGATTCGGCAAACAACTCGACGACGGTTCATACTTCATCGAGACGAGCTGGCAATCTGCGCTCAGCGGTGGCTCCAATGGTGCTGCGATCTTTGGAGCCTGGGCCTCATCATACTTTGCTGATCTGATCGGCTTCAAACCGGTTATCCTGATCGCAGCTGCTATCAACATTGGATCAGTTGGCGTTGAATTCGCATCTACATCTATCGAAATGTTCTTCGCTGGCAAGATGGTCAATTTCGTTGCCATTGGCGCGTTCCAGAACCTCTGCACAGCGTACGTAGCTGATGTCTCACCCCTTGCCATTCGATCTACCACCATTGGTTTCTGCAACCTTGCTCAATGCATTGGCCCCTTTATCTCGGCGATCCTCTCCAACTTCAGCTCGCAATGGGAATCCAATTGGTCCTGGCAGTCTCTCGTCGTTGCTCAATGGGGCTTCGCTGGTGTTGCTTTGATCGGCCAACTCTTTATGCCTGAGAGTCCTGTCTACCTGGTTCGCAAGGGGAAGATGGACAAGGCGCGTATGGCTCTTGAGCGCATGTACTCAGACCCCGAAGACGCGTCTGGTCATCTTGAACGTATCAAGTTGACTCTTGAAGAAGCTGACTCAAAGAATCTTGGCTCATACCTCGATTGCTTCAAGGGCACCAACCTCCGACGATCTCTTATCGCCATCATGGTGTTCCTTTCTGAGCCCATGTCTGGCCTTGGGTTCGTCTCCAATTACGGCGCCCTTATGTACCAGTACCTTGGAATCAGCGACAAGAAGTCCTTTGAGATTCAGATTGGCGCTCAAATTCTTTCCATGTCCGGTGCCACCATTGCTTTCCTTGTTGGCGACTTTTATGGACGTCGGCCCATGTACCTGGCTGGATGCATTGGCCTCTCTCTGCTTCTCATCTGTATGGGAATCTCTGGTTCAGTCAATACTACCGCTGCTGTTACGGCGTCCGTTGGCTTTTACACCATGTACAACTTCTTTTACAACGTGGGTGTTGGGTCAACGGTGTATACCCTTGCAGGAGAGATCCCCACGTCTGTTCTGCGAACCAAGACCCTTGCCATCTCCATCTCCATCTCTTCAGCCGTCAACACCATGTGGTCATTCGTCGCCCCCTACATGTTCAACCCCGGATATGGCAATCTCAAGGCAAAGATTGGATTTGTCTATGGTGCTTTCATGGTCATCTTTGCTGTCATGGCATTCTTCTTTGTGCCTGAAACTCGTATGCGAAGTTACGAGGAGCTGGATGAGCTTTTCATGAACAAAGTCCCTACTCGTCAGTTCCGCAAGTATGTCACTCTTGCTGAGCGACGCGCCGAGGAAGCTTATGCGATCGAGCAGGGGGTCAGGCATAAGACGGATGCTTAAGGTGATGGGCCAGGAGGATACGCGTTTAAATGAGAGTCGAGTTATATTGTTATGCCTTATTTATTCTGGTAGCTGGTAGCTAGTGACAATAAAGTGTGAAGTTCTATTGATCCAACTAATTTATTGAACTTCTTACAGTGTTATACATCTTTAAACCCAAGAAGCACAAGTTCGTGAGTATAGCATTTCTGCTGCAGGGTAGGCAGGCCTCTGGGTTTCTCTTCTTTTAAGACACTGTGCGCCTGATTACTCCAGAGCGAATGCCTCGGACTTTAATGCCGCGAGGATAAGCAACTTGATTTGGCTCTAGCTAGAATGTCTCTTCCTGGTCGTTTCCCCGTCTCCTGTTCTAACATGTCCTGATTTTACTTTTGGAGGCGATACAGAGTGCCGATTTGTGGAGCCCGAATCTTTGGAAACAGGGATCTCGGCTCAATGAGCGGTAGTGAACTTAGCTCCGGCTTTGGCGCTTGATGATTGGCTTAAGCTTGCGGCTTTGAAGTGTTGTAGTTGGCCTACTTACGTCAACACTCTCCGTTTATCTTCGGCTTTTTAGCTCGGCATATTCTTACTATGCTAACCCCCTAACTGATCTGCCCACCCCACTGACAATCTCGTCGCGTCGCGTCGCGATAAGCCAAGAGCTACACGATATTGAGCTTCGACCATTGTCAAAAGTTTACTCTTTGGGTTCACCTGCACTATACTCTTCACAGAAACCAAAACAATCTGTGTGATGCGCCTTAATTATTGGAATTTCCGAACATCTTATATCGCCTCTGCATCGTAGTTCTGGATCTCCATGATCATTGCTTGAGTAATGCGACCTCGTTCTAGATGCGTATCTCCGCTTGTTGCATCAACGCTGGCAGCCGACCAACTATCATCAACCTTGTCTTCAAGAGCAAGTGCATGGGCAATTAGAAACTTGACCATCCACTTGTCAAATCGGTAAGACTCTGCGTTCATCGATTGCATACAGTTCTTCTGAAAGACAACTAGTCGTTTGATCTACATACTAATCAGCATTCAGCACGAACTATTAAGTAGGCATCTCACCATCATCTCCACGCTTGGCCAGTAACTTCGTAGTTGTACCAATGACTCGAGGTTTGAACTGAGCCGGTCTCGAGACTCTTCAAGCTCATGGGACTCTCCAAATAGGTATGTGTGCAACAACACTGACGAGGACACGATTGTTACATGACCTACGATGTTGTAGACGGCTTCCGCCCCAGGGACCTCCCGCGAAGCCTTCAGAACGTCGCATACAATGGCAGCATGAGCTTTGCAGGAGCTAGCGTACTTGCGGCCATTTCTTGTAGGTGGTCGGCGATGATCGAGATATTGGTAGAATAACAGCGTGTAGTAGTGATGATAGCCGAGATGAAAGGCTATGAAGACACGTCCTAAACCACGGCTGACAAAAGAAGCCAGATTTTCCCTTGAGAACATTAACCCAGGACCTAGACCCTCTTCAAAAGAACTGAGCTCAGTCTCCAGCCTCTGCACTGACTCATCTATAAAAGATTCGTTCCACTCAGCTGTATTCGCTAGTTCTTGCTGAAGCTCCTGTATTTGAGCATATAACCCAACCAGTCTGACCATGTGAGCCCATAGCCCAGGCTTCCAGTCTGAGTCTGCGACATCTCTGTCTCCAGATCTCATGTGGTAGAACATATTCTCGTCGAGTGGCCCTCGAGGTTGTTTAGTTCGCCATCTGAATTGTGGCGATAGATTGGAGCCTCCACTGGCCCAAGTGTCGATAATGAAGCACGTCCAGAATATGCGTCTCTTGACCTCTCGTCTCACGCCATCATCGCTTTCGTCAAGTTCACCGAGCTTGAGGATTTGAGTCATTCGGCTTGCGAGTCCTGATAGACGATTAGATATGGTTTAGAGAGAGAATTATCGCCAAGGACAAACCAAAATACAAAGACTCAGCATCTGCATCACCTTCACCAAAGAAGTTGTTGCCGACAAGAATACAAGCTTGGATGTTCTCAATACAGATATGCTCCAAGTCTTCCTTCAATGCTGCAGTAGCTTGAGCGCGATACATTGGCCCACGAGCAACAACGTCAGGATCTGTCGCGAATCTGGACTCCCACCAGAGCTGTTTAGTGGTTCTTTCACAAAAACACGGAGAAATATGACATACCTTGCAGACAAACCTAGCATAGCAAGAAGGACAGGTTTAGATACTGTGCCTTCCGCAACGCTGACTTTGAACGTGGGCTCGTGGAAGAGGCTGTGAGGGGAATCGTGGATGAAACGAAAGTATAGACCTACTAAGTACATCTTCTCGTCTTGTGTATGGATTGACTGAACCGAGCGCGGAGGCTCCTGAACTTCTGATGCTCTTGGAAGTTGGGGGCTGGTGATAGCAGCAGGACAATGCAAATTTCGTTGAACGCATTGGGAACATGCTACAGAGTTGTCTGCCCGATCACATCTGCGCTTAGAAGTTCTACAGTTCAAACACGCCGTTGGGGGTCGCATGGCCACGATTCATTAGTTGTAAGATTGTATCGTGAGGAGGAGTTGGCAAAGTATTTAAGACGTCATGATTGAGGATGAGGCAGTGATAGAGTTAGAATCGATGGCTCATTACTGCGTATTTCCAAGCGTCAAATGTTGCTCCACTAACCCTAAAAGGTAGCGTTCCATACTTTAACCGAGGCTTTCAGATTGACATTGCGAAGGAAATCAACAAAGAACCATTGTTCAGAAACTGAAATTGATGTAGAGCTAAAAATGGTCTAAATCTAATAATCTATCCTAGAGAATAAAAACCTAACCGCTGTTGTTACAGTTCGTGCAGTAGTCCATAACGACACTGCATGAGTTGGACAGACGAATATGTCCGCAAATCCAAATACCATCGTTCTTCTTAGCGTTCTCGCGAGCTGCAATAATATCACTGCCCTTCATGCCAATACCATAGTCATCACACTCAAACTTTGCAATGCAAGCAGCTTGACCAACCGAGGCAACCATAAGGATACCCTTGTTAGACCGACTGTATCGCGTCGTGTAACCCTTGTACACAGTATCGGCATCGAACTCATTAATAGCCCTGTCACAAGCCTCACCTAAGCCCTTCTTCGATAAGCTATCGGCTGTTCCACACTGGCCACCGCCGTCGTTATCAACGGCAGTTTGAGAAGGTAAAGGCGTGGAAACGGTTGATGGTTCACCGTAACCACGTGTTGCTGTGACGTGGACAGTATAAGCCATAAAGTACTCAAGGGTGTAGGCTGAGTAGACCAAAACGGTGCCGTCGTTGGTCTCAGTGAAGGGAGTCTGCACTGGGGCCTGGGTAACTGGGGCTTCGGTGACGGGGACAACTGGGGAAGGGTATGAGGTGTAGTCCTCGCAGCTGTTGTCGATCAGAGAAGCTGAAGTGACGTATTGCTTGCCGGAGACTGTGGTGCTGCATTGGCAGTATGGCTTGTCGACGCGAGGTCCGCCGTAGATCACGCAAGGGTAGTAGGTGCGGACTTCCTCGCTAGTTGTCGCTGCGTCAGTTGTCACGCCGGATGTGATGGCATCGGATGAGGCTCTGGTAGTGGTGATAAAAGTGCTTGGGGTAGAGGTTGACAAGACAGCGTCAGATTGTGTGGTTGTAGCCTCAGTAGTCTTGTCCTCGCTAGTAGTTGTTCCGACAGCCTCGGTGGTCTTCTCTTCGGCAGTGGTTGTTCCAGTAGCCTCAGCACTCTTGTCATCTGTAGTAGGGCCTGCTGAAGTCTCGGCAGTGGAAGTGGCATCAGCCGTAGTAGCGGCCTTGTCTGTAGAAGAGGGACCGGCCGAAGTAGCACCAGTGGAGCCACCACGGACCAAGCACTTGCTGGCAGCCTCCTCGTCGGCACGCTTCTGGAGGCCTGCAGCAGGTGTAGCTGCAGGTGTAGTTTCAGGAAGGTCAATAGAAGGAGGGTAAACAATGAACTTGTGTGAAGTGACAAGCTGGTCCTCGACCCAGAGTCTCCATCGACCCATGAACTGACCCATGATGTCGTCATCGGAGCCAAAGACGATCTCCTCAAGCATATCATACTCGACGATAGCGCGACCCCACGTTCCGTACTGCTCGGTGGATTCTGCACGGCCGGTACGCGTGTAGCCGAGAACGGTTGAGTCAGACCCAGGAATGATGCCAGAAACTTGACTGGCCAAGTAGTTTGCACGATCCTCGTAGCGGAAAGTCGTTGTCACGCCAAGGCTACGCTCAAGGTCGTTGGTGAAGGGAGTGACAACGAAAACCCTGGGGTGAAACATGGAATGCAGCACACCGGGGACTTGGTCTGTACCAACAAGACCAGCAACGCTTTCGGCATTTATGGTGCCATCGCGAAGGGCATTGAAAGTAGTGGCCTCGAATTCGTCGTCAGGCGTGGGGTTCCAGGAACTGTCGATGAAGACGGGGTTCTCCCAGATATGAGACAGATAGACACCCAAGTCAGACACGATAATGACAGATGTGCAGCCATAGATACCGTTGACTCCTGCAGATCCTTTACCAGCGAAAGGGGGAGCGCCGAACCAGTGTCCCGCGGTGGCTCCAGTCTGATCCACCCAAAGGGGCGTGAGGGAGGCAACGTAGAAAGGGTTGGGAGACATGTCATCGTTGAACGCTCGAGCCACTAGCTCCGAATCACGCTTAGAAGGCGGGGATGCAGACTCGGACCGGGCAGTAGGAGCAGTGAAGGGATCGTCACCGAAGTCAATGGGCTTAGAAGGGTCCGTAGGGAGAGGTCCGTCGACAGTGGTGGTGGCGATGTCATTGCAGTTAATGTCACCAGCCGCGCTGCCCATCTGTCCTCCTTTCGATCCTCCAGCCCCAATAGGACAAGAACCACCGCCGCCACCACCGCATGTGTCAGCACCACAAGGTTGCGGAAGTCCAGTAGTCGTGGTAGTCGCTTCGGTGGTAGTAGACTCCTCCGTTGAAGTAGGGGCTTCGGTGGTTGTAGGAGCCTCTGTAGTGGACTCCTTCTTGGTCGTCTCCTCTTGCTTGGTGGACTCTTCTTTGCTCTGCTCCTCCTGGCTCTGATTCTCCTCATCCTCCTCAGTCAGGTCATCATTCTGGCTCTGTACTTGAGGAACAGCGCCGGTGACGGCGGGCACGTTACCAGCAATGATGTTGCCAGAGATGTTGGTAAGATCCTGAGCCATACAAGCGAGCTTGTTGATAATATCACCAATAGCTCCAAGAAGACCTCGCTTCTTGTTACAGCCAACGTCGGGCTTGCCGCCCAGGGACACGATCACAGCGATAATGTCGTCATGAGTGTCCTCGACCTGCTTATTAGTCTCATCGGTGAGAGACTCGGGGTCCTCGGTCCACTTGTTGATAATGGGGATCAGAGCGGCGACCTGCGAGGAGACGGAGGAAACGCTAGCTGTAGCCACCTCGGGAGCAACGGTTGTTTGGGCTGGGGGCTGGGTGATGACAGGCTCACCGTCATCCTTACTGGTGGGCTTGGACTCGGCGGTGGTAGGCTCAGGCTCTTCGTGCTGGGTGGTGGTCTGGGCAGGCTGCTCAGCGGCTGTTGTTGTAGTGTCCTGGACAGGCACCTGCGCAGTGGTAGTCTCAGCAGGTGGGACACCGGTGGTGGTGCTTTCAATGGCGGGCTGTTGCTCAGTGGTGGTATCAGGCAGAGGGTTGTTGGTCTCAGTGGTAGTGCCAGGAACAGCGTTTGATGTTGTTGTAGGCACAACGGGCACCTGCACTTCCGTAGTGGTGTCCTGACCAACAGGTTCTTGTGAGGAACCAGGGGTCTGGATGATGGGCTGGTTGGTGGTGTCCACTACAGGAAGCCATGTGGTGGTAGGGTCAACTGGAGGCGGCAGCTCCGTTGTTGTTTCCTGGACAGGAGGTACTGGTTGTGAAGTTGTGTCCTCAACAATTGGTTGTCCAGTAGTTGTGTCTTGAACAATGGGTTGAGTCGTACCCTCTTGTACAATGGGCTGAGTGGTGTCAATGACAGGAACAGGACCTGTCGTAGTGTCTTGAACAGGAGGTGGCGCTTGAGAAGTAGTGCCCTGAACAATGTCTTGGGAAGTCGTCGTATCCGGAACGACAGGAGGAAGCTGAGTAGTTGGCTCAGGGTTCTCCTGAATTGCTTCCGAGGTCGACTGAGGAACAACGATAGCATCGGTAGTGGCAGGGTTAAGATCAACAGGTATGTCGGTGGACGTGTCGATCACTGGCGGAATGAAAGCTTCAGAGGTAGTAGTGGTAGTAGCAGGCGCGGCTTCAGGAATGGGGTCCTGAGCAATTGCACAGAATGGCAGCGCCGCCAGGGCAAAGAATGTGGCACGCATCTTGGCGTAAACGAATGACCGAAATAAAATGAAGGACTATACCAAACCAGAGCGTAAAAAAAACTCCGAGCCTATGGTGAATGAAGGCTGAATCGAACCGCCACGCAGCTAGCACTTTGACTATATATCAACTTTATGTTGGCAAAACTCCGTCCATCGGAATATGCCCTTCCATTGCTGTATGACAATCAACGCACAGGGATAATGTAATTGGAGTTACAGTGAGCGACGCAGGTACTGTACAGCCCGAATCCCATCAGCGTTAGTGCTGACGTCTTCTATAATTAACGCTTTCTCCAAGTCACTACTCGGGTAGGGCCTTGAGACCGGCCCCCCTTAGCCTAACCCATTCCACACGTGGAGCCTGAGGGTCAGGCACGGGGGGTACGGTGACTAGGAAAAGGGTCGGTTGACTAGGGAAATTAAGCTACCTCATTTTTATATGTGCGCCCCACCAAATTAGATGTACTTCCTTTGCCACGGATAACTACATGATTGTGACCGGACCAACCCCTCCATTTGCAACCCCCACCAAAAATGCATATTGCCAAAACACCAAGCAACCATCACGACTATTCGGTATTTTCTTCATCCTTTGGGATAACGAACTCGCCCTAACTGACTTCAATAGTATCCCCAATGACTATTTCTTCATTATCATCATCATATTCATCATCTTCATCCATTTCCTCATCATCTTCAACGATTTCTAAGCCGTCAGCTTCCAACGACATCTTCTTCCGATTAGAGCGGCGTTTTTCCTCGTCACTGACAATAAATTCCAACGCCTCCTTCACGATATTGAAGTCATAGTCAAATGGAAGAAGGAATTGGGGATTCCAGTGAAAGATAAATACTCTAGGGGCTTCCCGACTTTCTGATTTCTTTGCATTAGTCGCTTTCACCTTGGAATCTTTGCTTTTAGCCAGAAGCTCGCGGTGAAGCCGGTATCTTGACCCTATCACCGCCGTCGACCGTATACAATCTTGGTGTTGTTTTTTTATATAAAATTCGGCCGCTGTGAATAGCTTCCTTTTCTGAGAATAAGTCGGCTGGCTGCTGTATAGATCAGCAACCCGTAGATCCTTTAAAGAAGCCCTGAGCATCTTCCTGACCGCTGCAATCCATCGTCGTAAATACCCGACTTCAACCCTAACTTCTTTAGTGTGCATACGAGCTTCCTCGGCCGCCTGACCGGCCAGCCGGTTGTGCTGATCCTTTGCGACGCGAAGTCTGGCATCATATATAGTAATTGG